AATCCCTCTCCCACCACCCTCAATCAGTAATCCCCCCTGCCCCCCCTCCCCCACTCACCACTATGGCTAGTGATGTCCCATACTGGCTGGCTGAGCACCATGGGAGTTGCAGTGCTGGCAGTGGGAGTGTCAGTGGGCGTGTCAGTGGGTTTGTCTGCCCACGTGGTGTGTGACGTAGCAGTGTCAGCATGGCGGAGAGGGAGAGTAACGGGCTGCCCCGGGCCGGCTCTGTGACCTCACTGTCCCAGGCTCTCTCCCACACCCGGCTGGACCTGCTGGACCAGGACAACATGGCGGCCGCCCCCCCCCGGCCCAGCGCCCCCCCGGCCATCCGCAAACGGAGACTGTCCAAGAGCCAGAGCCTGTCCGGCTCCCTGGAGAGTCTGAACGGCATGGCCAGCGAGGCCAGGGTGCTGGTCATCAACACCGGGGGCACCATCGGCATGACGGTCCACAACGAGGGTAATAATCATCATCATAATAATAATAATACCGGGGGGATAGTGGGAGTGGGAGTCCGGGGGGGGGCACCATCGGCATGACGGTCCATAACGAGGGTAATAATCATCATAATAATAATAATAATACCGGGGATAGTGGGAGTGGGAGTCCGGGGGGCACCATCGGCATGACGATCCACAATGATAATCATAATAATACCCGGGGGGAGAGTGGGAGTCCAGAGTGAAGGTGAGAGTACAGGGGATCATGGGAATGGTAGTCCAGCGTGAAGGTGAGATTATAGGGGATCAGGAAGGTGAGGGCACCATGGGAATGGTAGTGAGGTTGCGGGTTGCCATGAGAATGATAGTCCAGAGTGAAGGTGCGCTTGCTGTCCTGCTTCATTTTCTGTATGTAGAAGACACTATACTATTTATTTATTCATAAAATATTTTACCAGGAAAGATACATTGAGATTTCTCTCGTATGTCCTGGGTACTAGACAATAACCAGAGTATATGTACCTGTATCTTACACTTGATTACTGAACACAAAGATAGAAACAATGTTCAATTAGCCATTATGGGGATTAACACTATGGGGTAGATATCCAGAGCAGCTCTGGGGCTAAATTCTAATCATTGACATTCCTTGGTTTCCATGGTAATTTCTCACTATTAGAAAGTTGTTCCAGAATTGCTCCTATACATAACCCCAGTTGCTGCAGACTTTCTTTTATTAGGATCTAATCAGGCCAGCGGGGGCTTATATTTTTATTTTACGATTTGTACAGGTGAGTTTACAAACACATGGATGCAACAGGTCCCTGTCTGCTAATACCTATATTATGGTAGACTGCCAAGCAGTGACAATAGTAAAATCTAAATATGCAAAATATCAATGGCTTGCGGTTAGAATTTGTTTTGTTTCCCAAGATAGAATTGCTGGCATTTCAGTGGGATCCCTTGGAGCTATAGTACTTGTTATTACACAGTAGGGAGTGTGTAACCTGATCTCCCCATCTGCCTCTCCTGAAGTTTCTTTGTTTTATCTTACTTGCCGGAGGTGCAGCTATTTCTAGTTTTTGCTGGCCGCTTGGCTAATGAAAAATGTCCAGTAAGCTGAGATAAACCAGATCTAGTATATAAAACATGTCGAACAAAAATCTGGTGCAATGTATAGTTTTGTTTTAAATATTAAAGCCTTTATTTATATTTGCGAATGCGTGCGAAGATCCTTGGTTATACAACTTAAAGGGACACCCCAGGCACCCAGACCACTTCTGCCCATTGGAATACTCTGGGTGCCAACTCCCACTACTCTTTTTTTATAAACTGCAATAATTACCTTGCAGGGTTAACTCCACCTCTAGTGGCTGTCTACTAGACAGCCACTAGAGGGCACTTCCTGGATCATAGCACAGGAAAACTGTGCTAGAGCGTCGCTGGACGTCCTCACGCTGTGTGATGACCTCCAGCGTCGCTCATTTCCCCATAGGAAAGCATTGAAAAGCATTTTCAATTCTTTCCTATGGACAGCTCTAATGCGCCGCGCTGATCCGGCCGGTGGGCGGGATCAGTCTCGCACACCAGCCGACGCAATCACATGGAGGAGCGGCGGTGGAGGAAGAAGCAGCGACGTTTGACATATCGCTGCCTCTGGTAAGTCACTGAAGGGGTTTTCACCCCCTTCAGCAACCGGGGATTGGGGGTGGGAGGGAGAGGGCACCTGCAGTGCCAGGAAAACGGATTGTTTTCCTGGCACTGGAGTTTCCCTTTAACAAAATATTTCTGCCTGGTGTTTTCTAATGGAGTGGCGTTTGGTTTCAGTGGTGGCTTAAATGTGATAGTGGCTTGTTTTGTTGAGATTTTAGTTCTTCACTCCTACATTGCATTTTGTGCTTTAAAAAACAAAAACAGACATTTATGGTGGACTGTTTATAGGAACATTTCATGCACCATATCTATTACAACTCTCTTTAGTGGTTATGGTGCCAGTATCCTGCGCCCCTCCTCCCCCTTCTTTCATTGAAAGTATTCAAACCATTTTAGAATGGTTTGACTTCTTATCTCGGGTACGCAATGCCCCACTTTTCTACTAATGCTGGGATTCTACATGTTCCTAAGTAAGGATTTCTTATAAAACAGAGCCAATTCCCTGCAGCCGTCACTGGTGACGACTGTCGTGATTGACACTGTAGCTCAGACAAGCGTCTAGGAAAGTCAGGCGGAGGAAATACACAGATACAAAGTAGCATGATTTACGTTAAAGGACCACTATAGTGCACGGAAAACATACTCTTTTTCCTGGCACTATAGTGCCCTGAGGGTGCCCCCACCCTCAGGGACCCCCTCCTGCCCGGCTCTGGGGAGAGGAAGGGGTTAAACTTACCTCTTTCTCCAGCGCCCGGCGGGGAGCTCTCCTCCTCTTCGGCTGAATGCGCATGCGCGGCAGGAGCTGCGCGTGCATTCAGCCAGTCTCGTAGGAAAGCATTTCTAATGCTTTCCTATGGACGCTTGCGTCTTCTCACTGTGATTTTCATAGTGAGAAGCACGCAAACGCCTCTAGCGGCTGTCAATGAGACAGCCTTTAGAGGCTGGATTAACCCATTTATAAACATAAAAAAAAGGGTTAACCCTAGCTGGACCTGGCACCCAGATCACTTCAATAAGCTGAAGTGGTCTGGGTGCCTAGAGTGGTCCTTTAAGCAAGGGCTTGACCTGTTCTGGATATCTTGCCCTTCTACCTGTTTGATCGACTGAAATTTCAGTTATTCACAACCTCTCATACTCGCACACGCATCGATATAAAAATTCATTTAAGAGTACATACAAGCTCAATGCTTTCTCTATAAAGAGTTTTGAGAAACGCTTTGCTCAATTGCTAACTTTTAGGAAGCGACAGTTCCTCTTTAATACTTTTAATGTGCGCAGAGAAAATAGATTGTAGATTAAAGTGTGCGAAGCATGCGAAGGGCAGGGTCAGTGTCTTCTGGCACTTTATGGTTTTATCTTTTTCTCATTATCAGGGAATGTTTTGTAATAAAACATTTAGAGATATTAAACAGGACTGCTTACTTTTGGTTTTAGTTAGTCTCGATGTATTCTGCTGCCACCCTTTTTAAGAGCCGTTCCTAGCACTCTAGATTGCAGCAAATCGCACGGTCCCCCAAGCACACTGACCCCACTCTTATATCTGAGAGTGGCTTATATTCGTTATTTGTAAACATTTGTGCTGCTGCTATAAGACGGCCTACTAGGGCTGTCACTCAGGCATTAGGTTACACAGTTCCAGATTTTCAGTGTAAGTTTTGCCACTCTTGCGTGCAGCACTCTGCTCCCTGGAGTGTGTGACCAAGTGCCCGAGTGACAGCCCTAGTAGGCCGTCCTTATAGCAGCAGCGATGTTTACAAACTACGCATGTGCGGTTTATGGCTTTCAAGATGGTAAAACACAGCGCAATTCACTGGGCTGTGTACAGAGTATATCAGGTTATACTATGAGGTGATGCTAGTACAGGATCATGTAGCTGCCTTGGGCCAAGGTTTAGATGGGGGCCTGGAAACTATGAATTTGCCATCCCTTTATGAAGAATGATGGAAGTAAACTGTCTGACATTTTGAAGGTCCGCTTGTCTGGTTATAAAACCTTATGGTTAACAAGAGCCAGTGTACGTTCACTAATCGTGATCTCTCATATAAGCACAGAGCATTCCCAAAACACACTCCAGGATGTTCCCAGAACTTCAAAATCTGTGTCCTAATAGATAAAGAGCTAAATAAGGGCGCACACAGAGTGAGGGTAAGCCAGGAAATGCAGTTAAAAGTTACTAACTTATGCTTGTTTATTTCAATATAAACCCTAACGGAGTCTGTACTACACCAAGTCTTCTATTTTCACCCATAACATCTTTTGTTTCCTTCAAGGCGTGATTTGGTGATGTCAATGTCCTCTACTTCCCTGGAACTCCTGAGGAATGGCTTAGTAGAGCTTAATGAACATCCTTCTGACAAAACCAATTACATTAATGCACCTTCACAAAGTATTGCACCAGGATGAATCTATTGCGATATCCGTGTGACTCACAGGATACACTATAATGCTTTAGAAACATTCTATTTCTCTGAGAATTACACATATTGATACAACACCTATAATTTGTATTAAGATGACGGCGTCCATTTGCCGGATAAAGAGCTTTGGATTTTTACAAGTAATTTTATTTTTCACACCTTACAAACATACATTTGTTAAATGCATTAGTAAACGTAATATTAAAAATCCTGTGAGGTGTTACGTTCCTTTTTAAGACAATTTTTATTTATTTTTTTTGCTTCATATTTATTTCATAGATTCCGAACACTAATCTGAAAATAGTCTGTGCCAAGCCTTTTTTAATCTTCTCCTTCTTTTGTGCTGTAAACAATAGATTCTAATCCATTTCGGAAATATATCTATAGATAAGTTAATGGTTTTTTTGTAAACTGAGAACCTACTTTATTTATTAATTGTAGCTGAGACGTTGCAAACGTATTTAAAGGACCACTATAGTGCCAGGAAAACATACTTGTTTTCCTGGCACTATAGTGCCCTGAGGGTGCCCCCACCCTCAGGGACCCCCTCCCGCCCGGCTCTGGAAGGGGGAAAGGGGTTAAAACTTACTTTTTTCCAGCGCTGGGCGGGGAGCTCTCCTCCTCCGATCCTCCTCTTCTCCTCCCCGTCGGCTGAATGTGCACGCGCGGCAAGAGCTGCGCGCGCATTCAGCCGGTCACATAGGAAAGCATTTACAATGCTTTCCTATGGACGCTTGCGTGCTCTCACAGTGAGAAGCATGCAAGCGCCTCTAGCGGCTGTCAGTGAGACAGCCACTAGAGGCTTTAGAGGCTGGATTAACCCTAATATAAACATAGCAGTTTATCTGAAACTGCTATGTTTATGAAAAAATGGGTTAACCCTAGCTGGACCAGGCACCCAGACCACTTCATTAAGCTGAAGTGGTCTGGGTGCCTAGAGTGGTCCTTTAAAATGCAAGAAAGAGAAGGATGGTTAAAGGGAAACCTGTACCATTTACCTTGGCCCCTGCTCCTCCGCCGCAATATCATTTAGAGGGGTGGGGATTACACGAATATAACCCCCACCTGGGTCCTCCCGCACTCATCCTCTGCTGTTTACTGACTTGCCTTGCGAGGGGACACTCTCCCAAGCCGGCAAACCTCCTCAGTGACACCAACATGCTGGCTTCGTTGCCAGACTGCCACTGTCTGAGCAATGTGAGGTCATGTCATCCCGTTCCTATCCCTAGTCGGCACTTGCAGCACCGATTAAGCAGTTTCCACAGCAACCACAACGCACACACTGCTATTGTTATTAATATTACTGGCATTTATAAAGCAACAACATATTTCGCAGCGCTGTACAATTTGGAAAATCATACAATATAAACAGACCGGTACAAAAGATAGAAGTCCCTGCCCGTGAGCTTACAATCTAAAGGTAATGCTATGGATGCCTTCATTTTGATGCAATAGTTTTAGCCAAAAAATTGTAGAAAATGTGTGGTGGTAATTTTTTAATTTTCATTGTTACACACACATTTGTGTGTGATTTAGGAGAGCCTGTTGTTGGTTATTGCAAGAAAACACTCCAGGTAGTTTTCTGCAAGGCCTCCTGAGTACACCCACGCCCCCCATGCGTAGGTTTGCCAGGATTTTGGGAAGGTACGATTACAATTGTATGACTTGTAATTTGAGTTGAAATTGAGAGTATTTCTTCTGATAGGCCTATCTTTAGCTAGGGGCTTATCACGCACCCCAGTTTTATTTATTGCCATGAAAGTGTGTATATTTGAAACGTAGACACCCCGAGGTATTGTATAAGTAGTGCTTTGATGCAACTTTTTTAGCAAAAAAATATATAGAGAGTGTGGTGGTAATTTTTCATTTTTACACACATAATGCTTTTTGACTGTGATTTAGGAGAGCCTGTTGGTTATTGCAAGAAAACACTCCAGGTTGTTTTCTGCAAGGCCTCCTGAGTACACCTATGTCATACATAGGTTAAACGTAACCAAAAAAAACCGAACAACAAATGTAAAAAAAAAAAAAAAAAAATTTAAAAACTAAAAATGGACCAGCGTGTGGTATTGTTTGAAGCAGTCCCCAATGCAGAGTCCAGGCTGTCCAGGGCAATTAGTACAATAATATACAGTATCTTTTCTCTGCCTCCTCTTTAAACAGACTGTCATGCCAAAAGCATGAGTTGGTATTTGATGTGTGTTTATATATGTTAAGAGTTGTTTTTTGTAAACCTTGGGATGACATTTATTGTGGTCTTTGATCTTGCACGAGGCCTAGACCATAAAACATCTAGATAGCCATCACCAGAGCTGGACACAAGGAATTTCATAGAGTGGGCAATAGACTGCCAGACCAGCCCCCTCTGATTCCCCCCCCCAGGGGTCTGCCCACTGAGAAACAACTAGTTTAGATATATGAGGGTGTTGGACTATCCAGGGAAGTCAGTTATTCATTTTTCTTTTGTCAGTAACTTCTAGGAGCTATACCATCTAAGACTCCTACAAGAATTCTATATGGGGTAAATATATGTAAGGAATTTCTTGTGTTTTCTCCTATTTTATTTTATGTACTGTTTTGCAATTTGTTATCTGTATGTCATTTATTTCTGTATTTTGTACTCAGCACTGTGAATCCTTTTGTCAGATTAAATGTTTACTTAATCAGCTTGTGTCTCTGTTCTCTATGAGCTTCACTCTCCAGAGGAAAGCTCAGGTAAACACGTTACCAAAAGGGGTTAACTACCGTATATACTCGAGTATAAGCCGAGTTTTTCAGCACATTTTTTGTGCTGAAAAACCCCCACTCGGCTTATACTCGAGTCACTGTCTGTATTATGGCAATTTACATTGCCATAATACAGACTGGGGGCTGGCAGTGAGCTGTTACTTACCTCTCCTGCAGCTCCTGTCAGCTCTCTCCTCCTCCGTGCCGGTCCGGTCAGCACCTCAGTCAGCTCCCAGTGTAAGTCTCGCGAGAGCCGCGGGGTCATAGTGCGGCTCTCGCGAGACTTACAGTGTGAGCTGACAGAGGACCTGCACGGACCGGCGCGGAGGAGGAGAGAGCTGACAGGAGCTGCAGGAGAGGTAAGTAACAGCTCTGCCAGCCCCCTTCCTCCCCCCACTGAACTGCCAATGCCACTGGACCACCAGGGAAGGAGAGCCCCCCTCCCTGCCATGTATCAAGCAGGGAGGGGGGACAAAAATAAATACATTAATAATATATAAATAATTAAAAAAATAATATAACCAAAAAAATTAAAATAATATTAACTAATAATATATAAATATAAATAATAATAAAAAAATAATTAAAAAAAATAATATAACAAAAAATTAAAATAATATTAATTAATATATAAATAATAATAAAAAATTATTAAAAAAATAATATAACCAAAAAAATTAAAATAATAAATAATATTAATTTTTTTATTTATTTTTTTATAAAAATGCCCACCCCCCACCAAGGCTCTGCAACACACACACACACTGCATCACACACACACACACACACTGCACTCATACACACTGCATTCACACACACACTGCATTCATATACACACACTGCATTTATACACACACTGCGCACTCACACACACACACTGCATTCATACACACACTGCGCACTCATACACACTGCGCACTCACACACACTGCACTCATACACACTGCATTTATACACACTGCATTCACACACACACTGCATTCATATACACACACTGCACTCATATACACACTGCATTTATACACACACACTGCACTCATACACACACTGCGCACTCATATACACACTGCATTTATACACACACTGCGCACTCATACACACACTGCACTCATACACACTGCATTCACACACTGCACTCATATACACACTGAGTACTCATACACACACTGCACTCATATACACACTGCATTTATACACACACTGCGCACTCATACACACACTGCACTCATACACACTGCATTTATACACACACACTGCATTCATCATATACACACACACTGTAAATAAATATTCAATTAATATAATTTTTTTAGGATCTAATTTTATTTAGAAATTTACCAGTAGCTGCTGCATTTCCCACCCTAGTCTTATACTCGAGTCAATAAGTTTTCCCAGTTTTTTGGGGTAAAATTAGGGGCCTCGGCTTATATTCGGGTCGGCTTATACTCGAGTATATACGGTATATATGTTTTATCAGTAAAAGTAGAACTGTGATACTATAATTCTCCTGTGTGTGGGGTAACCTAAGACGCCCGGGTTTAAAAGTCTTGGTGGTGGCAGTAGTACTAAGGGGGATAGTGTAGAAGGGATTGCAGGGGTTAATTGAGTGGTTGCTGGGACTAGCAACAGGTAACCAGGGGTCTGGTGTCATTAACTCTGTCACTTCCACACTCTCCCCACTGTCTCGGCTGGGCCTATAGCCCACGCACGTGACACAGACTCTGCATCTTTTTTGGGGATTCTGCTTTTCCGCAGTAGGGGGGATTTTAGAAATAAAATGTGTAGCCCCAGCTCCCATCACCGCCCGGGGAGCAGGTGCATCACGGCACAAAATCCCCAAAATGATTTGGAGCTGAACCTGTAAAAAAAAAAAAAGTCAGTTGCATTCCGGGGTTTGCTTTTGTGCACAACAAAAAAAAAGCGTTGTGGGTTGCAATCTGCATTAAGTAGAGTGCAACCTTTTTGTACCAGGCCCTTGTCTTCCGTATAATTAGGTTGGGCTGTAGCAGCTGATCTGCCAGATCAACCCCACCCATATACCGGTTATAGGCCTTGATGCACACTGGCTTCCTTGTGCTCTCAGCTCTGCCACGTACAAGGATGGCATACGCCTCCTCAGCGCTATACGACCTCGGTGACATGATCACATTTACTTTACTTTGTGATCTGTCACCCCTTACAAAATGCACAGACAGCAAAATAAGTGCTGCTGTGCAAGAGCCAGTGATTATAGTGATCACTGGCAAGATAGGGGTTAACAGCTCTGGGTCTCACAGTTTTACAAATCCCTACCTAAATCTCTCCCTACCTAAAACACAGATCTCTCTCACTAAAGCACAAGTGAAGAGAGGGAGGAAGAGGTGGGGGCTGGGGGGAGGAGAAGGGGTTATAACTCACATTTATTTAATTTAAGAATTTTTTTTTTAATGTTTTAAAAAAATTTTTATCTCGAGGCACTCCGCACAGACAGAGCATCGGAAGCCTGCCCGATGGCTTCTGATGCTCTGCTTAACTGCCGGGCGCTATGTGGAGCAACCCGGAAGTGATCACCCGGCAGTAAGGAGAGGTATTGCACAATGCCTCGACATCGAGGCATCCCTGCAATACCGTTAGAGCGGCTGGAAGCAATCCTGATCGCTTCCAGCTGCTCTAACGGTATTGTAGCGATCCTTAAAGGAGCACTATAGTGTCAGGAACACAAACATGCATTCCTGACCCTATAGGGTTTAAACCACCATCTAGCCATCTTGGTCCCCTCATGCCTCCCTAAATATAGTAAAATCTTACTTGTATTCAAGTCTGCAGCTGCTTACTTTGTCCCTGTTTCCTTTAGACCTGCCCACTGCCTGCTGACATCAGCAGAAGTGGTAGCCTGATCCAATCACAGTACTTCCCCATAGGAACAAAGAGGCAGATCAGGGGCAGAGCCAGCACAATTCAAACACAGCCCTGGCCAATCAACATCTCCTCATATAGATTAATTGAATCGCTATGAGGAGAGCTCAGTGTCTGCATGCAGAGGGAGGAGACACTGAATGTTTGGATGCAATTTAGGCAGCAATGACCCAGGAAGGATCTCTAACAGCCATCTGAGGAGTGGCCAGTGAAGGTATCACTAGGCTGTAATGTAAACACTGCATTTCCTCTGCAAAGACCGTGTTTACAGCAAAAAGCCTGAAGGTAATGATTCTACTCACCAGAACAAATTCAATAAGCTGTATTGTGTGGAGCAACCCGGAAGTGATCGCTCTCGGGGAAGCGATCACCCAGCGCCCGGCAGTAAAGAGCGGTATTGAACGATACCTCGACATCGAGGAATTGCTGCAATACCGTTAGATCGCTTCCAGACGCTCAAATGGTATTGCAGCGATTCTTAACTTCTTAAGGACCAAACTTCTGGAATAAAAGGGAATCATGACATGTCACACATGTCATGTGTCCTTAAGGGGTTAAGGACCGTTTTTTGGCCGACGTACCTGACACGTCCGCGGTCGGGAAGGGGTTAAACAGAATTTACAATAAATGAAGAGTAAACATTAGATGACCCCTTACAGGAATTGTTTAGGAAGGCTGTGTAAGTCACATGCAGGGAGGTGTGCCTAGGGCTGCATAAACAAAGTGATTTGACTTCTAAATGGCATAGAAGTGAGCAGTGAGACTGCATGGGCATGATCTATACACCACAACTGCTTCATTTGCTAAAGTGTTTTGGTGCCTATGGTGTCCCTTGAAATACGGGGAGAGTAACCGTTTTAATATGTTTAAAGGCAAAAGTGAAGGGAATGTCTATTGCTGTTTAATACTTTTTTTTTTTTTTTTTTGCATTTGGCAAAGAATCGAAATGTAATGGCCAACTTTTTCTATTAGATAAGATATTTTGCAGACTGTTTGGATAGTTGTAATCGTTAACGCTGATAACAATGTGGCAAACATGAAGCTGCCAGAAAGGACACGTTTTAAATCATTAACTCTGTAAAATACACCAATGCGAGTTTGTTTATATTTTGTATATGATTAAATGATCACAATAACACGTTTGAGAAGACGGACATTTGTAAAATGCTGTTTTCTGAAATACATTTTTGATATTAAATATCAGAGTCCAATTTTACAGAACAATTTCTCTCGACTCTTGTATGATAATAAGCACGCTATGTGTACACAGTATGCACCACTCCAAGATCAGATCATGTTTAATAAGGATAGCTGTTTGTTTATTGCAGTTCTAGCATTTTACATTTAGATTGGCAGGGCCCACTTTCCCTACTGTTCCCGCATGTCATACATGTTTTGTAAGAATTAAATGACTTGTTTCTTATTGTACAGCACTGCTGACTATGTTGGCACAGTGTAAATAATTGTAATTCATTATTATTTCCTTTAACAGAACTCCGCACTTTTGGTTTCTGTTGTATAAGAACAGCTCTGTTTAGTAGAACTTTTATCACATACATGCGAGAACGCAGCTAATACAGATTATTAAATATGAAGCCAGTAAGCACCAACCAAATCTTAAAGGAACACTGTAACAAAGCTGTATTCTTTACATTAGTGTCCCTCTGGAACCCCTTCCAACCCTCCCACACTGAAAGGGTTAATCACCCTTTAGGGTTTAACCACTTAACTGATTCCAGCACGAAGTCCGTCTATGCAGACTCCGTGTCCAGCTCCTCAAACATCAACGTGAATGTAATGCACATTAGGCTTTCCCCCATTGAATCCATGCGTTCCTACGGGGGTGTGCAAGATGCTGGGTGTTCTCATGCACAGGACGAGGACATCAGGCGTCGTTTCACGGGGTTAAGCTCAATAAAACTGCAGGAAGCAGCTCTAATGACTGACTTACAATGTTTTAAATGGCAGGTTTATGGGGGCAAGGACAGTACAATACGATGAAGTGGTCTGGGTGCCTATAGTGTCCCATTAATATTGTTTAACTGCTGGTATGTATATTATTAAAGTATCATTTATTTCCTGGGTCTTTTTTTATAAACTGCTTTCAAAGAGATTTATTTGATTTTGTTTATTAAACATAACATTTCATTATTATCATTTATATAGCGCCAACATATTCCGCAGCGTTGTACTATTCTAAAATGGCGATATTTGACCATAAGTCATTTACTTAGGGAATATAACAGAGATGAAGTGAAGAAGGTCCTGCTCAAACAAGCTTACAATCTCTGAAATTTATGCAGAAGGAAGACGTTTTTAAATCTGTTTTCATTTTGTTTCCATTGCTGGACAATAAATCGGGATCTGTCCATCGAGCTATGTGCGTGCAGACGTACGAGTCTAAGGCCGTTCTTGCATGTAATGTAGTGAGCGCTATTGATTTCAGGGATTTGTAGACATGTTTACAAATGCTGAATGGCCGTTCTCCACCCCTGCCGAGTATCCAATCCCTTGACACTGCCGAGACGCCCAGCTGTTACTGTGTACTATAGTCTGCAGGGTGAACCCGTGTTTATATGTATAGTAGCTTTGCATGTTTACAGCCCTGGTTTGTGGTCAGAGTTCATGAAAGATATGCACATTCCTTCTGAGCCATATAATACTCGTAGGGGATTATTCTCTAAATAGCGAGTCAGAAAACTGTATCATAACCGTTTCCTTTTGTAAGTCAGTAATTCAACCTTCCACGGAGAATTTTGCTTTTCTGGTACATTGGAATTTTGTAGTGCCTGTTTTGAACAGTGAGCGTGAAACTATTTTTTTTTAAGGTATTTTAGAGACACTGATGGAACCATCTCAATGAGGTGGCCTGGGTGCCATGTCCTCCTCGTTTGAACCCGGTACTGCTTTCATTGCAGGGTTTAAATGCCTCTACTGGCTGTCACTTGGACAGCTAAAAGAGGCACTTCTGCTGAAGCCTGATTTGTGACGTCAGTCTCCATGCTGCGCATGAACACTAGTCTCCGAATTGTTTGGTGACACTTCCCCATGGAGACCAGCACTGTAAAGGAGAAAATTTATAAATGCTATAGTGTTCCTTTAATATCACTCACCTTTTCCATGTTGACAGTACACCTTAAAGGACCACTATAAGCAACCAGACCACTTCAGCTTAATTAAGTGGTCTGGGTGCCTGGTCCAGATAGGGTAAACCCTTTTTTTTATAAACATTTCACAGAGACTGCTATGTTTACACTGAGGGTTAATCCAGCCTGTGAAAATCACAGTGAGAAGACGCCAGCGTCCATAGGAAAGCATTGTAAATGCTTTCCTATGAACTGGCTGAATGCGCGCGCGGCTCCTGCCGCGCATGCGCATTCAGCCGATGACGTCGCTAGGAAGAAGAAGAGGACGAAAGCTCCCCGCCCGGCGCTGGAGAAAGGTAAGATTTTAACCCCTTCCTCTCCCCAGAGCCCGGCGGGAGGGGCACTGTAGTGGTTTACTGGCACTATAGTGGTCCTTTAATGCATTTAGCCACAATTGGTTCTGTGCTTCCAGTGCCGTATCTAACCACCAGAGGGAGCATGACTTTTCCTCCAAATTCCCCCCATGACTTTCCTCAGACTGTTCCCAATCCCTCTCCCTTCCCCTCCCCATCCCCCAATTTCAATGATTGGGTGGTACAGTAAAATTTAAGAGATTCTGGTGTTTAAAGGTAAATAAGCATGGGTTATGAACCTTAGAAAGTTAGACATTTTTAACCAGAATGGCTGTTTTTTATTGGCGTAGTTTATGCTTGGTCCGTTCATAGTTGTACCTATAGTATTGTATTAGTATTTATTTTATTTGTTTTGATCTGTCTGTTCCTGCTGATGTTTCCATTGCTGGACAATAAGGCAGCTACGTGCGTGGGGACGTACACGTCTATGGCTGTTCTTCCATGTGATATAGTGAGCGCTATTGATTTCAGGAATTTGTAGACATGTTTACAAATGCTGAATGGCCATTCTCCACCCCTGCCTTATAGCCAATCCCTTGACACTGCTGAGACGCCCAGCTGTTTCTATGTACTACAAGGTGAACCTGTGACTATATTAGCTGTGGTCAGAGTTCACACTAAATATACACATTCCTCCTGACCCATGTAATACTCACGGGAGGCTATTTAGTGAGTTTCAAGCCTTCGAATGTTGCATCATTTTGTCCCATGTGTTACTTTACTCATTTCCCTATCTCTAGGTAGAATGTAAGCTCATTGAGCAGGGCCCTCAGTACACTCTGTTCCTGTGCGTCCAACTCATCTTGTTACAATTACATGTCTTCTAGTCCACCTATTGTACAGCGCTACGGAATTTGTTGGCGCTTTATAAATCATAATAATAATTCAGTGTTAAGAATGCTTTCCAGGGCTAATAAGCAGGATTGCATGACTCGTCAATCCCTCAATTTACCTTATTTTTTAATTTTTTTTTGTCTTCCAGTGCTGGCTCCTCAGGCTAATGCTTTTGCAAAGGCCTTGAAGAAACTTCCCATCCTTCACGACGAGGTTTACGCCCAACAAACCAAACTCTATGAATTCCTTGACTTCCCGGAAAATACCTTGGTGCTCCCGTAAGTGATTCTTCGCTCCCCACCCATTTTAGAATCATTGTTTCTGTGGAGTAAGAGTATGTATAGGTGTGTATTCATAGGCGTGCACAGCATATTGCATTAGGGTGTGCACCCTAAAGCACAAGCACACGCCGCATATATATATGTATGTAAGTATATATATATATATATATGTGTGTGTGTGTGTGTGTGTGTGTGTGTGTGTATATATATATATATATATATATATATATATATATACACACATACACACACTGCTGTGTGTGTGTGTGCTGTTAGTGTGATGTGTGTGTGCTATGTGGGTGAGGGTGCTGTTAATGTACTGTGTGTGAGGGTGCTATTTGTGTGTGTGTGTGTGCGCTTCTGAGGGTGCTGTTAATGTACTGTGTGTGAGGGTGCTGCCTCTCCTGCCTCCCTCCCTGCATGTGGGTCGGTAGGGAGGGAGGCTGAGAGCAGAGCCGGCGCTCGGATAGCGCCGGCTCTGCCTGAGCCGACAGGGGAGATCCTGAGATCTCCCCTGCCGGTCTCAATATACATAGGCATGCCACGGGGATTAGGGTGAGCCCAGGCACACCCCGTGCGCACGCCTATGTGTGTATGTGGGATTTTTTTTGCTTAAACTGAAAGTCTTGTAATGTTCAAATGCTGGGAAATATACGTTTTATAAAGGTGCAAAAAGAACATCTCTCCGAGACCTAGATATAAATTTAGCCAGTGATATTGTCGTCGTGTCTGTGAAGGAGCTACGATAGAAGAGTTTACCTTGTTTTATTGCGGCCTAGTCTTGTGCCGAGTTCATTTTGACATTATCGATATCATTGATAATGATCGCCTGTGCCACCATCAACCCTGCTCTGCAAGCTGCTTCCTCAGTGACCATGTTTTACACCGATCTCAGGGTCACACAGAGTTAATTTCCAAATTCTCTCTGTGTTATCGTAAAACCCAACGCACCCATTTATATCTCCTATTATTTCATATTGATCATTGCAGCATTATCACTATACAAACCTTTAGCCCAGCTCTTACATTCCTTTCTTGCCCGTACTTACCTGCCCCTTACCGCTTTGTTAACCCTTACATTGGCTTCCTGTATTTTGTTTCAGATTTAAATTTAAAGTCTTGCTTCTCAAAGCTGCAACCCTTCTTGGTCCCTTTGCTCTGCCGATGTTCTAACTCTGTTCTGTGTTTAAACCTCCAACCAACATATGACACTTCTTCTAGGACTGCCCCAGTATTTGTTACATGCCCACCCTTTAGGACTTAGTCCTTGTCTTCAATCATTAAAAAAACAAAAACCTGAAACATATCTATAGAAAAACATAGAATATCCTTGTGCGATTTATTTTCTTAATTCAATGTATTCCTGTATTCTGGCTGAGAGCGTGCATTGCCATTTACTACTTCCTCTGGATACATTGCATCTTGTGCCATTGTCACCCTTCCAACTAACCTGGACAAGGTCTTCCTCCCCTTGAGATCCAGATCATCATTTACATGTGTGGTTATCCAATGTACAGCTCTACAGAAAAAGCTGGTGTTTTATAAATACAAATATTAGTACTGTTTCATTGTCTGCTTTGTGAGTGACGAACTATAGAATTTAGACCAGGGGTGGCCAGACCTTGAAATACCATAATGCATTGCAACTATTACGTTTCCTGGGAATCATGGTACTAGTAATTTTAACAATGGCTGTGGATCTACCGTTTGGCCACAACTGGCCTAGACCCATCCCTCTGTTTAATTCATTCTGTGAACCAGTTTCACAGACTATATTTAAGTCCGAAATATAAATAATGAAAAAAGACAAGGCTAGGTTTTCTTGTAGAATCATTCAAGAATGTTTTGTAGATTTGAATTCGTCCAAGACCTTTAACGAAATTCTGGTTACCATTGTATTTAACTAAAAAAAAAAAAAAGGCAAACCGTGTCCCCTAATTAATAATACATAGCAAACGATAAAATCAATGTAGCCATGCAGAACCTTCCTCTGTTCAGAGACGTTTGTTCCAACTTGAGTTGTTTGTCGGCTTTTTCTAAAAGTAACTAATAGTCACGGGCATGTCTAATAGTCAATCCCTCGGATTTAATGTCCTTTATAATGATGTATCTGAGCTGTTACATCTTGACCTGTGGGGTTACACGAGGCCCCTCAACCTTGAAAATTAGGCAGAATACATTCTGATCTGCAGCTCAATTAATTAAACTCAAATCTTCCGGGATTGAAAGCGGTTCTGGACTACTTTGCTGCCGATTGATGAGTTTCTCTTTACCATTATAATGATTAGCCTGGAGGGATGACTTGTTAGCTTATTCCAATTAGTGAAATTCTATAATTATTCTCTGTTGTTGCTTCACAGACGCACATTGTAATGACTAACCTGTACATCACATAGAGTTTGTACAATAAATATATATTTTTTAATATTCATTATCTAGTAGTTTGCTGTAACACTGTGTTCTAAACTCTTCATCACTTACATTTCTAAATACTGCAAGGGTTGTCTTGGGAACAACATACAATATATTAAATACTTGCAGCATTCAGTCTTTTTGTTACAGTTGGAGTATATTATTTAAAATGGCTTGTTTATAGGATTCTCAGCATTTGTCTCTATACACATGTTCTTTTTTTGTGTACTTATTCTGAAATTCTGCACTTGGCAATACATTGCTCACCTGGAATTTTATCTTAAATGGTTAATCCAACTAAAAAAATAGTGTCCCCCCCACCACTACCAGCACTGTAGCTAAACATATACCTTGGTTTCTGCAAGAGGGCTGTTTTCTCCCTTAAAGGACCACTAAAGTGGCAGGAAAACATACTCCCCCTCCCACCAGGCTCTGGGGAGAAGAAGGGGTTAAAATCTTACCTTTCTCCAGCGCTGGGCGGGGAGCTCTTCTCCTCTCCTCCTTCATAGCGGCGTCATCGGCTGAATGCGCATGCGCGGCAGGAGCCGCGCGCGCATTCAGCCAGTTCATAGGAAAGCATTTACAATGCTTTCCTATGGACGCTGGCGTCTTCTCACTGTGATTTTCACAGTGAGAAGCACGCAAGTGCCTCTAGCGGCTGTCAATGAGACAGCCACTAGAGGCTGGATTAACCCTATTATGAACATAGCAGTTTCTGAAAAAGGGTTAACCCTAGCTGGACCTGGCACCCAGACCACTTCATTAAACTGAAGTTGTCTGGGTGCCTATAGTAGTCCTTTAAGTGGCATGGGGGAGGCATGCCAAAATGTGTACTGAATTTTTATTGACCAGCATGGAATGCTCCAATGACAGGTGGAGCTACACCTCAGGGACGTTAAATTCTGGTATGTGCAGCTCCTTATAGGAAAACTCTGCATAAACAGTCTCCAGTCACCATGACCACTTCAAATCAGTGAAGGGGTCATGGTACTTGGAGTAACTTTAATACATATAAACCGTTTTGGAGGGTTGGGGTTGTTTTTATTAAGTGGTGTAATTTCTAGAAAATAAACGGTTCTCCTTTAGCTAGACTCTTCCCATTTCATAATTATATATTTTTTTAATTTTTTTATTTCGGACTGGGGCCTGTTGCATAAACTATGCCTGTTATAACCAAAGAAGACCCATTGGTTGAGTCCAACTCTCATGATAAGATGCACTGACCTCGTCTAACTGAAAGCGGAATTCTAGATATTGGTTGTTCCTAATCTGTAAAGACATTCGTGGTTTTTGTACACTTCCAGGGTTTCTAAACAGAGCAAAAGAATTGTGTACACCATTCTGGAGTATACCCCGCTTCTGGACTCCTGTAACATGACTACAGACGATTGGGCCAAAATTGCTAAGGATATCCAGGTATGAAATCCAAACAGTCCTAATTCTATCTCCTCGTTATTTCTGTGCTGTGTGATCACCTCGTCTTGTATTATCCAGAATGTTATTGTGTACATAAAGCTGCTAAAACTCTCCAGAACATTTTGTTCACACTTATTTAGCCAATTACCTAAATATCTTGATAGTTTTCTTATTTATCTTTACTTTCTCCCACCCCCACTTCTGCCTGCCATTAATAAATAAATACGTTGTCGCAATACTCTCTCTTTTTCTTCCATTTATAATAAGACACACACGGAGCTTATTGATTCTAACCCTAGCTGGCACAAGTAGTACTGAGTGAACGAGGAGAATTCTCGTACAAAGACCTTCGTTTTATCTCCACGGTTATTAAGTAATGCTCAAGTCCAACTTGGCCCAGCCTGAGAGCTAAACTAGGGGAGTTGTGGGAATAACGAACTGCAGCTTTCATCTCATTGCTTATATTCTCTCCATATTGTAAGCTCACAGACCTTCTTGCATAGTACCATACAGGAGGTTGAAGTCAGTATTTCTCTTTATCTTTTTGATCAATGTGTCTAATTATCCATCCCCTGTCTGTATAATTCGCAGTGTTCTCTTTGCATAAATTGCATACTGAGCTTGAACTGCATGCCCGATCCTTAAAGATTGGAGTTTAGTAAGTTAAACCCCACTGCAGATTATATCAAGAGAGGCGAGATGAAAAGGGTGAAAAAGGATAATACAGTATTCAAGTAGGATTAGAATGATACGTTTAGGATACACTGTAATTCTAGCATTTGAACACTAGATGACAGTGTTGTATATGAAAACCACCTCTCATGTCTGATTGCACACAACATATCGCTTGTTGCCAGTGCTGATAGCCCAGTGACATAATCAAAATTTATCATATTCTGAAAAATGTTAAGGAGAAAAAGAAAAAACAAAAAAACCCAGTAAATGGCTAGTTTTCATTTAACGGTAGCATTACAGTGAAAGGCAACATTTTGTTCCAAAAATGTGGGTGTTTTCAAAATCTTGAAAACCATTTAAAACCCACATCTGGGCTGAAATGTTATACTTTTTTTATGATTGAACACCGTAATGAAGGGGACTCTTCTAATTCTTGTTTTGCAGGGGTGCCCAACGGTAGATGTCCAGATGATGTAGAACTACAGATCCCATGATGCTTTACATGCCTTTAGAATGCTCTTAGGATGACAAAGCATTACAGAACTTTTATGTAGTTATAAAACATCTGGGGATCTACCTTTTGGGCACCCGTCTTGTAGTGTGTTTAAAAAAAGTTTTACAAAAGAACAAATCGTGGCAAACACAAATAACAAATGATATGTGGGTAAAAGTGTCAATTCGTAGCAATTAAATAGATACTCAACTGCGCAAATAAAAAAAAAAATCACAGTTTAGTTGATATACCTCCAGTGGAAACATGCATGAATATAATGCATTTTTTTCCATTGTGGTTATATCTAAAAACATCTGCAGCATTTGCAAACCCTCCCCTTCTAACCCTGCCCAGACTTTCTGCGGCTGTCCAATCATAGTCTTCCCAGTGCAGCTCAATGAGAAATCTTTGCAAGGCAGGTGCTCCAGACTACTTCTTGAGTTTATCTCCACTGAGCTAAGGAAACCAGGAAGAAACAGTTCCTGTTGTCCGACAGCCAGGGGTGCGGTAACAACTCCTTGATACAAGGAGATATCTGACTGCAATTCTGGGGTCAAGTCCCATATCTCCTTGTATCAAGATGTTTGTAGGAAAACTGCAAACCTCTTCAAACTGAGTTTTTGCTTTCTTTTTGATTAACCACAAAAACCGACGTGAGAGAGGCGGAACTTGGACACATGTCTCTTTTAGCCTAAATATTATATTTATTGAATATATATATACTTATTTATTTTACAGGTCCTCCTTACTTCCTCTCTATTGTTGTTGTTTTCTTCACACTTAATCTGTGAATAAAATCAACATTTAGTGGCTGTCTCCTAGCAATCCAGTAAATTTAAATGTTTTTTTTCTTAATGCCACTCACGGAACCCTGAATCCCGATTCAAATGAATATGCTTGTCCATCGCGCAAGTCACTTGCTCGGTTAAACAATATGGTCCTTCAGTTACGAAATTGTGATGTCCTACAGATCAGCCTAAATTCAACTTCTTTTGTATGAAGCGTAAAACTGAAATCTCTGTGTATTAATACAGACACACATTTACATTATACACCAGAGGTAGAGTGATATTGTATCTGTGTTTGATAACGGTTCAATGAAAACCAGCTTGGATCTGTGTTGGGTCATGTAGTTCCATAAAATGTGGTAATGTCGTTGTTCGGTCAGGCTGCTGACAGTCTGGCTGGAGCCTTATAATGAACATTTGAACTTTATACTGAGAATTAAGCTGATGGTTGAATTTATCGATCTGTTTCTTGCAGAAACATTATGAGCATTTTGATGGCTTCGTTATTCTACACGGAACAGACACCATGGCTTACACTGCATCCGCGTTGTCATTTATGTGTGAACATTTAGGGAAACCTATAGTCCTGACCGGGTCCCAGGTAAGTCAAAAGATTTCCCCAGTTTTAATATTGTCATTTTTTTTTTTTTTTTGAGCATTTTATATATTCTTTATTTTTCTTGTGCATATGATAACAACAGGCGTGTAGAGCCACAACAGCATCTACAAGCATTTTCAAGACATTTCAAAGTGTGGCAGTTTGGTCGGCACATTTTTGTATAATCATGAAAATAACAAGCTGTTAAACATTGCTTTGAGAACATAACATGCCAGTGTGATTAGGCGTGTCAAAAGTTAAACGTAAGTTTGATAAAACATGCTAAATTAATAACAGGCTGAGTGAAGACATACTGTGTTTGCTGTAATATGGTTCAAGTAGGCCAGGCTAATGCCGATCGCTTATATAACATAACACATCATGCCATTGTGATTAGGCGTGTCTAGAGTTAAACGTATGTTTGGTAAAACATGCCAAATGAACATGCTAAGTTAACAGGCTGTGCTAAGACATACTGTGTTGGCTGTAGTGTGGTTCAAGTAGGCCAGGCTAATGCCGATCGCTTATATAACATAACACATCATGCCAGTGTGATTAGGCGTGTCCAAAGTTAAACGTAAGTTTGATAAAACATGCCAAATTAACAACAGGCTGAGTTAAGAAATACTGTGATTGCTGTAATATGGTTCAGTTAGGCCAGGCTAATACAAGTTGTTTATTTAATATAACATGCTAGGGTAACTAACCGCGTTAAGCGTTAAACGTAAGTCTGATAGGACTTGCTATATTCACTACATGCTGTGTCAAGACAAACTATATTTCACTGTGGTGTGATCCCGCCAGGACAGGCGTTTAGTTATGTACTTGGTTATACTGTCTGGGTGTTAGAGTAGGTTTGTCAGCAGTGGCACAGGGTTCGGCAACAGTTAGAGAGCGTCTGTTCGGAGGGGCCAGTGATTCAGCCGATACCTCTGGTGGGCACCCGTATGCAGTCTCTGCTCCGGTCGGTTGTAGAGTGTGCGCGGTAGGTCGGGCCTCTTGGGGCTACCGGTCTTGCTGCTGGGTGGAAGTGGGGTGAGGATAATCCCCTTTCCCCGATGTCACGTTGGGGTTGTGCCACCCGGGTACCCCTGGGCTGGGAGTCCGCCCCGGCGTTCAGCTGCACTGGTCCCTGGGTTGTAGTTGTGGCCTGTAGGGGTTGAGCAGAGCTGTACCGAGTGCTGGCTCCCATTCCAGGTGAGTCTCCTATGTGGGTGGCTGGTTTAGCAGTCTCGCTCTTAGGACTGTAGGGGTAAGTGCTTGTACCTGGGCAAAATGGCTTCCTTGTCCGCTTATGGGATCGTTGGTATGTGTGTGGCCTGGCTGCCTTTCCTGACGCCTGTAGTGGTTGCCTGTAATGGCGGCGTCGGGCTGCTGGGCGAATCCACGTGGCCACTATTTTCACTGCAAGAGCCTATCGAAGTCCCCCAAGGGGTTCGTGGGTGGTTGGGCATGTGTGCTCCGTTTCCTGGGCCCCTGCTGGGCGGCCATCTTAGGCTGCGTTTCAGTGGCTTGGTGCCTCTGTAGTCGGCTCAGACTGTTTGCGCCGTCTGTTCCGTCCTGTCAGTCTAGGCTTGCTTGTTTCGTCGCTGAAGGGCCTCGGTGTCAAGGAGAGCGACCGCCTCTCCCCGGCCCCTGTCCCAGTAGGCCGCACTTTCTTTTGGCCCCCCTGGCCCCGACGGGCTTCAGGGTGGTATCAATCTGTTCAGCGGTGCACCCCCGACGTGGGTAGTGCACCCTCAGACGTATGTGAGTGGTCTAGTTGCGGCTTTTGCCGCAATTGCTGCCCGCCGGGCAGGAGCTCATGCTACACACATCTGCACGGCTTGGTGGTTCGGCTCCGCCCCCCATATTGCCATATTTTTTAAAAGTTTAAAACATGATGTACTTTTTTTTTAAATTTCTAACACAGTAATCCCTTAATGGTCTTGATTTAATATTCAAATTATTTCATATTTTTGGACAAACGTTTAAAAAATGTTAAAAATAATAAAATTATAAAATAATAAATAAATAAAAAATAATAATAATAATAAATTTTTTTTTTATATATATATATATATATATATATATATAATATAATATAATTTTTTTTTTTTTTTTCATAATATTAAAGGATCACTATAGGGTCAGGAACACAAACATGTATTCCTGACCCTATAGTGTTAAAACCACCATCTAGCCCCTCTTGCCTCCATAAATCTAGTAAAAATCTTACTGTATTCAAGCCAGAAGCTGTAACTCTGTATGCTGTTAGACTCAGAAAAACAAAGCTGTCTGCTAACATCATCAGAAGTGGCAGCCTGATCCAATCACAGTGCTTCCCTATAGTATTGGCTGAGACTGACAAGGACGCAGATCAGGGGCGGAGCCAGCATGATTCAAACACAGCCCTGGCCAATCAGTATCTCCTCATAGAGATGAATTGAATCAATGAATCTCTATGAGGAAAGTTCAGTGTCTGCATGCAGAGGGAGGAGACACTGAATGTTTGGATGCATTTTAGGCAGCCATGACCCAGGAAGGATCTCTAACAGCCATCTGAGGAGTGGCCAGTGAAGTTATCACTAGCCTGTAATGTAAACACTGCATTTTCTCTGAAAAGACAGTGTTTACAGCAAAAAGCCTGAAGGTAATGATTCTACTCATCAGAACAAATTCAATAAACTGTAGTTCTGGTGACTATAGTGTCCCTTTAAATTATTTTAAAAGTTTTTATACAAAAACATTAAATCATTTGAAAAGCTTATTCATCAATATTAAATGGAGTCCGTTGTCTGGAAGTGGAGTTTGTCCCACACCAGCTATTGCCACGTTGACTGTCAGATAATTGTGTGAATCATAGTCCACTAAGTGTCAGACAGCCAAGGACAGACTGGTTTTAAATGAAATATTTTGTGACCCTGCATTAGCCTTCGCCAGTTCATTCTTTTCCAAACTATGGATTTCACAGTCCGTAGAATCAATATTACCCATTTCATTGTGTACAATATCATAAAGTATGCTCCTTTTTTAAAATGGCAAAATTGTGTTACATTAAATATACATGTGTCCATTTTCTCATTCCTATCATTATGCTGGGTCCGTTAAACCCTGGTTTAATTTTAGGATAAGCTCCTGTTCTAACACACAAACTCCTAGAATTAGAAAGAGCAGGAAGATATCTCAGAAGCATGGTCCTATCCCCAAATCTCCTTAATGATGTCCTTCGAGAATGCACACAGAGTTCAAAACGGGAAATACCAGTGCAGCAGTATGAACTAAGCTTTTAAATGTAATTCTCCAAGACTGCACCCATGCTGACGGGGTGGTGGCATTGTTACAATATCCATAGGAAATTTCAAAGGACAGTGTTGGATTAAGACACCATACAGCTCTTGGCAGGGTACCAAAATAGGACCCACCCCTCCTTGCCCATGTACTCTCAATTCAGAGTACAGCAAAGACATATTGAGTAAGCATTGCCCCATATTGCTTGCCAAGGGCAGAGTCGCCCATATTATACCGGCCTAACTCCTCAGCCCAGGCTGTTTACATAATCCAGCTCTGTCTCATCAGACAGGTTTGTTCTATAAATACAATAAAAGGCTAAGAAGAATGGTGAATATTGGTGGTAACAAGGTCACTTCATTGCTACTTATTTTTATTTACCATTTCATAGTTATATAGATTTGCATGTGTTTTGTCCGCATGTGATCGCTTCTTGACTCTACTGTTTATTCTTTGTCTCCTGCAGGTTCCCATTTATGAGATGAGGAATGATGGACGGGACAACTTGCTGGGAGCTCTGCTAATTGCAGGACAGTTTGTGATCCCAGAGGTCAGTATTACGCCAGCATTATACAGGCTTGATGGAACATATGTTGTAATATGAAAACCAGGCAATAGAGAAGAGGTCCAGGCACTCCCATAGCATCAAGAACATTTATTGGGAAAAAATGAACACTGCACTGTTTCGACCCAATGTTTGTTGAGATTGTGCTGGCCCATGGTCTGGTTTAGCACCCTTAGCTTTTGTGAATGGAGTGCGGTTCCTGTTCGGTATATTGTAATATGAAAACCTGGCATTTTGGCACAGTATTCAAAGTCTATTAATGCCCATCATTTAACAGCACTAAACCAGCATTTCACATCTTTGTGTTGATGATGGTGACAATCACACTAAATGGTATTCGTGCTAAATGTGGCTTTTTATTTCTTCTGAGAAGTGTTTCCCTGTATTAAGGGCATGAACCTGCAAAATACGAACTGGTCGTGTACAGTAAGTGTATACAGCAATTGTTGAACACTCTGGAGAAGATTTATCAAAGTGTCGCCAACACCTTTTTTGGGTGTGTTTATCTATATTTTTGCGTGCATTGATAAAAGCACATAGAGCGTGACATAAGCTGTACGTCCAAGATGGATAACAAGATACGGGTAACTACAAGTTGATTAGAATGCAGATTTTTTTTAAGAAACTCAGCTAATTGAAGTTTAATCGAAAGGCCATTGGTAGGAATGATTCAGGACAATCATAGTGGTGCTGCAAATCTATCCATGGCCTGATTAGAAGTACCACCAGAATAACAGAGTATTAACGTACACTGATACTAGGCCTGCTACACAGGCTCATTACATGTGGCATAGGAACAAGTAAAACTAAAAACAACAAATTAACAGTATAGCGGCCGGTATTCTGAGCTAGGCATGCCACTGTAAGCTGTCATATATGAAAGAATGAGGCTTCAGCCTATACCTAGGCAGGGCAGGAGGGCAAGACCAGGCCAGTGCAGTAAAAGCTAGGATATACGTCAAATCTGCACCACCAGCCCCAAGTAAGTTGTAGGAGAAACACGCAATGTCCACTATCCCGCCACGCCATACGCGTCAGGCAGCGTCCGTAGAGGAGTCCCTGCTCAGTGCCTTGCCATGGTGTGGGCAGCATTCCAGACAGAGCTCCTCATAGGCCATCAGAAAAGCCCTCTCCCTCCTCTCAGGCATCTCAATTGTCGATATCTGCAAAGAGATAGGAGTCGCCGCAATCTTGAGTGGTTCATGGCTAGTTGATCAGGCTCAGTTTGCCTGTATGGAGCAGCAAGTCCAGTGGATAAATATGCTGGTAGGGACCGGGATAACCCCACTGGTCCAAAGGGCGGGGAAACGGGACCAGCCAGATGCGTCTCTGATGTACCGGTGCGTAGTGATTAGCAAGGAAGCAAGGCGTTGGCCGTCCACCTCGCTCGAGTAGGCCTCAAGTTCCAAGGTCCCTAAACACCGACTTGGGCCTCAGAATTCCTGGATTTGGGCTTGGCAGCAGTACCAGCAGTCGTTCAGGTAAGGATTTTCAGCTGTCAGAGAGCAATTTCCGCGAGTAATCCGCTCCAGAAGCCGAAGCCCTCTGGAGCAGTTCAGGCATGTGACCTGTTAGAATGGTGGTCAGGCCCCCCTAACCCCCGTCGGCAACAGTTTTAAAGGGATATTCTAAGAATCAAAACAATTTTGCTTAATGAAGCAGTTTTGGTATAGAGATCATGCCCCTGCAGTTTCCCTACTCAATTTCCTGCCATGTATACTTTAAACCACTTTTGTTTATGTTTATGCAGCCTTAGCCACACCATTAGGCTTTTCACAGAAGATGATAAATTCTAAATTAAACAGATTGTGCAATAAAATAATTTTAAACATTAGATCTCTCTCTACAGGAAATGTGTAGGGAGGCTGTGTAAGTCCAGTGCCTGGGGGTGTGGCTAGGGCTGCATAAACAAAGGGATTTTTCTCCTAAATAACAGAGAATTGAGTAGTGAGACTGCAGGGGTATGATCTATACACCAAAACTGCTTTATTAAGGTAATGTTGTTTTGTTGCTTAAAATGTCCATTTGTAATCAAATTTTTGGTGCAATTTATTAAACCTTTCAGTATTTTTCACCTGTTTCTGCTTCTGTATATTAAGCGTAATTTGTTGTTGGCGTGACGGAGCAGATTTATCAATATTTGCCACTTTTCCCAGTATCTGAAATGGTGCTATTTACAAAAAAAAAATTGGTAGAATTTACAAGTGAGAAAATTATCACTTTTTAGCTCACTATTAAAACACTTTATGAATACGATCAAAACAAAGACTGAAGCTGTCATTTTTCAGAACACTTTGATAGATATCTTTCTCTGCCTTTGCACTCACAGTTTAGCGCAGTGGTGCGTTCATATTTAGAATGTGAGCTGGCAGGCGTCTCGTCTGTGAGCTAAAACTGAGTTAACGTGATCAAGGAAGTCATTTAGCTGACTTACTGCATTATTCATTACATTGAGAACTGCAAATTTAGGCCAAAATAGCTGATCTGGAATCACAACTGACTTGGTGAATTTTTCCAATTTGGCTATTTTGCCCTTGAAATACATTTTGACAATTCTCACTCTATGAATAACCCAGTGTTGAAAATAGTCAATAGAAAATGGTTCGTCTACATGAGGCGTGAAGTAATAACTAAAAACCTCTTGCTATGAATAAAGATGTCCGTAATAGCGGTGGGATTGTTTGACACCTCTGGGTGGTAATTTAGGCATGAGTAGAAACAGATTGTCTCTCCTGCTGGGTGAGTGTGAGGCAGCAGGTGGATTAGTGATTGCTGGAGAGATTAGGGTCAAGAGAAAAGAGGTGGAGATCGGATTTCTAGCAATTTAAAAGGGGGGGGGAAGGGGGGGCTTTTTGTTAAAAGTAGCTCTGGGTGGAACTGAAACATGGGGTTCCGTACACACAATCCATGCAGGGAATCTGCAGCAAAAATAAAAAGTACATCAAGAATAGAACTATAACTGGCCATTGGAAAATACATATAAAATCAAGATTAAATGAATAACCTGTGTTTATCTTAATAAAGATTCATATTTTTTTCAAACAAAATCTTCAAATTTGTAGTTTGTGGGGAGAACAGTGTAATAGACAATGAAGCAGACTGTATGCTCCATTATGTAATCAATTTTTATTTTAAATTAGATTAAGGATATTGAAAAATAGAACAATTGTGTATTGCTTCTAGCTCAAAGGGATCCTATATTGCCAGGAAAACAAACCTGTTTTCCTGGCACTATAGGGTTAATAGGTCCCTCCCTCTTGCTGGGCTGCAGGGGTTAAAGCCACTTACCTTAATACAGCGCCGGGCTCCATTAGCGCTGGGTCAGGCTCCTCCTTGCCGACGTCAGCTCTCGAGTGGAGCCGAATGCCCATGCGCGGCCAGAGGCGCTCGCGCACATTCAAACCCGCCCATAGTAAAGCATTACTCCATGCTTTCCTATGGGGATCTGAAATTACGCTGGACTCCGTGAGGACGTCCAGCGTCATTTCAGTGCGATTTTTCTCACTGAAAATTGCGGAAGAGGCCTCTAGTGGCTGTCAGGGAGACAGCCACTAGATGCTGGATTAACCCTACAATGTAAACATAGCAGTTTTCAGCTGCAGGGTTAAAACTAGGGGGACCTGGCACCCAGACCAATTCATTGAGATGAAGTGGTCTGGGTGCCTAAAGTGTTCTGTTAAAAATAAAAATTAAATAAAAAGTAGCAGTGCTACAAGAGTACACTAGGTGGCACTGTAGTAATGGAACAGTAATTCAGTACTACACTATGCATTTTTTTGTTTTAACTCTAGTAAATTATCATACATACAATGTGTGGTTTAAAAAACAGAATTAAATCCACATTTCGAAATAATTAAACACAAATTTAGAAATGACCTTAATAAAATAACATCTTGCCAGAAGTCATTTTTAGGTGCTCAGTTGAAATTTTTTGAAACCTTAAAATACTCTCACGGTTAGTTGGTACTCTCTAACAATGACTGCTCGAAGACCACTAAATTCTGAATAAATGGATTATTTTTATTTATTTGATAGTCTACATATTGAATAAGCATGTGTTAACTTTACTGTGATCTGGATGACATCACTTTTTAGTTTATGCTCCTATTAAAAACTGGCACCTTAAAACTTTGCCCTGTAACCTAAATTTAATAATTGTATTCATACGTAGCAAGAAATTGTTAACGGTATGCCAAAAAAAAGACCAGAAGTACAACTCGAGTAAGGGTTTATTGGGGATCAAAATTATAACCAACACGTATCTTGAAAAAGTTGTATGTTTTCTGCAAATCTTTTTTCAACCTTGGACTTTGTTTCGTGGCCATAATGTCTTTTTATTTGTAAAAACATTTTTTTTTTTTGTAGATTATTTATTTTTGTATGAATTTATTCCACAGTATTCTATAGAACTGTAATGCTCGGGGACTTTCACTGAATTTAGTTTTTTTTTTTTTTACTCCATTGGAATAAGATAATTTTGAATGTTGCATGCACAGTACGTCTGCGGCAGACTTATGTATATACAATGTTTAAATAATGGATTAACAATAAAGTAGACCATGCTAAATTATTAATAAATATTTCTCATGAAATAATAAGTAACCATTGCTTTTCATTATCGGTCTGCTCTGAATATAAATGTCGTCTTGCTACCAGAACAAAGTGTTTTAATGGATTGTGCTCGGCTGTGTGAATGATTTGCTCCACACTGAAGACAAAACTGTTTAAAATCTCATCAAATGTTGGTTTTCTAAGAATCCACAATGCAAAACATTAAAGTGGGAATTATCAAAAATTCTAAGCGAGCTAAAAGTGAATTTCAAATGTAAGACCAAAGTAGCGGTACTGGGAACATAGCTCGTTTTCTAGCTCGGCTATTTTGGCCTGAATTTTGACTTTCACCCTGAATTTTTACTTCTTTAAATAACCTTGGAAGGATGTATTAACTAAATTTAGACCTGGAAGAGACAGGGGAATTTAAAATTCTAGACCAAACTCTCGCAATATTTTTGGACTTAAATCTGCATTTCTTCTGCACAACTGGCAGTTTAGTGAGGAACATCAAAATGTGGATCATTGGACACATTAGGGGCGCGCCACAACATCAAATAGTCCTAGGAATGCTAATGAACTATGTATAGAATAGGGACATTCTAGAATTGTTGGTTTATTGTCAGTGACATCTTTTAAGTCCCTAATTTAAAGGGCTGTATAATCCCCTTGTTCACAGGACCTCTTATCATTCATTTCTGCAGTGAGGCCACGTCAAGTCTGTTAAATACTAATGTGTTGGTTTCACAAATAGTACATGTTCAGTTCAATTGCATACAAGACAAGATTTAAGGGAACATTATAGTGTTAGCAATACAAAACTGTATTCCTTACACTGTAATGTACCGTGGGCCCCCCCAGGACTACGGGGTTAAAAAAGACCAAAAAAACCCACCTTTTTTTCACTTACCCGATTCCATCCCTGAGGTCACTCGGCTCTGTATCACTCTCTGCCTCCTCAGATAACACAGCGATGGGGGTACCCAATGCACATGCATTTTATATAATGTTGGAGTCTGAAGCTAGGTTTAATTTCTTAGTTTTATTTCATTCATCTCTTTTCCTTAGAGGGCATTACTTATCAGTATTAATTATTTGAATGTATAGTGTTTAACGAAAAGGTTTTTAGTAAACAAACATCCTTCACAGACAAAATATTAGAGATGAAGGACCAAACTTCTGTAATAAAAGGAAATCATGACATGTCACACATGTCATGTGTCCTTAAGGGGTTAAAGGACCACTATAGTGCCAGGAAAACAAACTCGTTTTCCTGGCACTATAGTATTAATAGGTCCCCCTCACCCTCATGACCCCCCTCACACCGGGCTCTAGGGGGAGGAAGGGGTTAAATGCTTACCTTTCTCCAGCGCTGGGGACTCTCCTCTTCCTTCCGACGTCATTGGCTGAATGCGCATGTGCGGCAAGAGCCGCGCGCACATTCAGTCAGTCCATAAGAAAGCATTTCTCAATGCTTTCCTATGGATGCTGGCGTCTTGTCACTGTGAAAATCACAGTGAGAAGCGCCTCTAGCGGCTGTCAATGAGAGAGCCACTAGAGGCTGGATTAACCCTTATGTAAACATAGCAGTTTCTCTGAAACTGCTATGATTACAGCAGGCAGGGTTAACCCTAGATGGATCTGGCACCCAGACCACTAAATTAAGCTGAAGTGGTCTGGGTGCCTATAGTTGTCCTTTAAGGCACAACAAGAAGTCAGGATTTAGGGATTTCACCATTTATTTTCCTAATGGGATACTGACAAAATCTGGATGTTTGTTAGAATTGTACCATTTTGGTTTAGGAACCTTTGATCTATACGGTGATTTGACAAAAATGGTGGCTCTCCCAGAAACAAAAGCATTGTCTGAAGTACAAATATATTCAAGTTTATGTGAGTCATAGGCTGAGAGCACTGGGGGCATTTAAATTTGGGTGGATCTGTACAGATAATCCAAAATTGAAACTTTACCGCATCAGTAGACTACAGCTGTAGTGGTTATGGTGACTGGTGTCCCTTTAAAAATAAAAACCTGTACTAACTGGTGATGGGAATACATCGGAGTTAAACATTAAAGTACTTATAAAACATAAAATTATGTTTTGTTTATTACAAAGGGTTGGACTAATCATCTTTGCACAGACAAACATGTTCCTCTGCTTGCCTTACAGGTGTGCCTCTACTTTCATCATAAATTGTACAGGGGAAACCGGGTGACGAAGGTGGATGCTGGGAGTTTCAATGCGTTCACATCTCCCAACTTGCCTCCACTTGCAAATGCTGAAGTCGATATAACAAGTAAGCTGCCCTGCCATTTAATCCCTTTAATTTATGCCACATGGAAGAGTCTCTAGCTAATCTGGAAGGTTTGGAGAAGTCATGCTCTCGTAACCTTCAAAAGATACAAGTTTTAGAATGTTCCCGTGGGGTTTATTCTCTGAACAGTGCACTGTCAATATGTACGTTAGTGGAAAATAATTGCAAACCTGTTGTGTCGGAGCTATTAGCACAAAATGCAATCCTAGATGCTCTTTATATATCAGACACGTAGAAAAAGTGTGTGGACGTGAAGCTTCGGTTACAGCACAGTTTCCCACGATGTCTCTGTAAAGCAGAATTTTACTTTTAATTTTACTGAAACTGCCCTGGTGTGTTTTGCATATACTGTGTGTGTGTTTCCTAATCGCCACCTATATGGTGCTTGTCTTAAGGATATCCATGCAAGATCACAAGTGCGTGTGTCACTAGTGCTTAAAGGCAAATGTTATACATTTTCATGTCAACTTAGGCTGAGCAGCAGTTGGTCAGATAACAGTCGAGACTGACCCAACATGGCTGCTCAGCCAGATAAAAAAAAAAAGTTAAATTTTCTCCCAAAAAAAATCAATATACGTCATTTCAAAAACATATATAGAATTACATTTCATTAGATGTAATGTTTTAAAAATGAGAATAGACTGATAATACAACCATGCACACCTGAATCCTAGGGGGGCACTAGCGGGGAGAGCAGCAGACAGTATAGAGGTAGACAATTTGAGGGACCATGCCCGGCCTGAAGGGATGGCAAACTGGCTGAAGGTAGATATTCTGCTTCAAACAGCACGGGAACACGGGATTAGTGAGAACAACTTGGGAGGGGGGGTTCTCTAAGCTTTAATGTTGACACAAGGGACCTGCGAGTCAGACTATGTTGTTGGGCCTGCGTGCCCGCCTGTTGAATGTTTTCTTTACGCTGACTATAACCCACAGACCTGCGAGTCTGCATGATACTCACCTTTTATCCCCAAATACAGGAAATAAAAATCATATTTACAAAAAAAAAAAAATGAGAATAGAAAATTTGATGAAGTTGTCCTTTTATGATGGACACACAAAATTAGTAAAACACAAAGAGTCTCTGGCTTGTGCCCTTCTGAACACAAGCCCTGTAGTCTAGGTCCGGCAGGAGGAAGACATATTGTGAAGGTAGATAAGTTTATGCCATCCACAGATGAACATGATGTTTGCTTGTTTGTTTTTTTTGTCACGCTTCTTGTTCTTGGGCTCTGTTAGACGTAGGACACAGCGGCACAGAGATGTAAAAGAAATCTCATGGACACAAACTAGCTCTTTCATTACCTGTATGGTTTCTAATAAGTTCTGCTTCCAACCAAAGAGAACTTAAAATCAGTGATGTCCCGAACGGTTCGCCGAACGGTTCGCCGCGGACGGCGAACATATGACCCTGTACCTCACAGTCAGCAGACACATTCCAGCCAATCAGCAGCAGACCCTCCCTCCCAGACCCTCCCACCTCCTGGACAGCATCCATTTGAAGCTGCATTCTTAGTGAGCTGTCCAGGAGGTGGGAGGGAGGGTCTGCTGCTGATTGGCTGGAATGTGTCTGCTGACTGTGAGGTACAGGGTCATATGTTCGCCGTCCGCGGCGAACCGTTCGGGACATCACTCCTTAAAACGGCATCCTCCATAGAGCAAGGAGATGCATTGAAAAGAGTTATTTACCTATATGTATGCATTACAAAGTATTCTACATAGAGGCTATAATACATGAAATGTTTTATATTCAATTAAATTATAGTTTTCTTTGAAGACCAACTAAAATAGGAAGCAAAAAAAAGTTCATAGAGCATAACTTCTCTTCTGGTAACCTCTTACAACATAATGAATGGGAGTCCTTGTGTTAATGATGCAGCTCTTTGACCTGATTGCCACTGGGAAGAGGTGTTTGGAAGGCTGTCATTCTTGTTTGATTACATAACTTTGAGTGAATCTACCACTCCTTAGGGAGGTGTCATTTTTCAAAAGCTCCTTCAGATTTTGGGAGTCCAAATACTTTGTGTGGAACAGTTTCTGCTGCTTTCCTGAAACTGACCCGATTCACGCAGCAAAAATACAAAACAGAGTCTCGTAGCGTAGCACAGTTAGCAGACACGTATGCCAGGAAATTAAAGAAATAAAGCAAAATAAATATTGGAGTCAACCCTCAAAATTATTTGTGCACTGTGAGAAATTTTAAAAAATAATAGGAAATAGAATGTTTTTGAAAACATTTACTGGCTGTGCCATAGTCTCTTCTCCCCCAAACCCCCCCAAAACAATTTTGGGATTGCATTGTTTGGTTAGCCCATAATTCTGGTACATTTGGCTAGGAATTCTGGCTTGATAGCCATGGGTCCAAATTCAGCTGAATTGCAGTTCGGTCTGAACGAAATCTCCAAATCTACCAAAAAAACTTTTCCACTTAAATTATGTACATGAAATATACACAAATACAAGATGAAAGATTAAGTAGTTATGACACATGTACATTCACATAATACAAACTAAAATGTGAGTTAAAAATATTTATTATTCTTTGTGCCACGTGATCAAGTCTATCTTAAAGGGAGACCAAAAATAAATTTAATGTAATCTTTAAAAAAAAAAAAACAAACTAGCTTAGACTGTCTGAAATAAACCCAAACAGACCATTTAAAAGTTGCATTCAACATTAATTGGTAAAACCTTAAATGCTCAGAACAGCGGGTAAATAGAATATTCTACATTCTAGCCATAGAATGAATATCAGTCTAAGTTTGCATTAAAAGTGTACTTTTGTTCCCAGGTCATGTTCTTGCATGCATGCTTGTAACCAGCTTTACGAGAGCAACAGCAGAACACCGTAAATTGATCAAACGTGCGTGGACTCTTTGTCTGTGCAAGCAGGACTGTGTAGATATTAAGATCCTTGAAAGAGTTGTGTATGCGAGATTGACAGACTTCCTCGAGTTCAACATTCTGCTAGACCCGCTTCAGTGTGGTTTCCGCGCTAAGCACTCTGTGGAAACGGCACTGACTAAAGTATTCAATGATTTACTCACTGCAAAATCTCGTGGTCACTACTCTATCCTAATTCTCCTTGACCAATCTGCAGCTTTTGACACGTTTGATCATCAACAGCTTCTTCTCTTTCTCCGTAATATCGGTCTACAATATATTACTCTCTCCTGGTGCTCCTCCTACATCTCCCAGCACTCTCCTTCACACCTTTTGTTCAGTCTATCGCCAAATTCTGCCGCTTCCATCTCAAAAACATTGCGCGCATCCGACCCTACTTAACGCCAGATGCAACTAAGGTGCTGGTCCATTCCACTGTCTTTTCTCGCCTTTACTACTGTAATCCGCTTCTCAGTGGTCCATAATGAATGCGGCGGCGAGGCTTATTTTCCTGTCCACCCGCACATCCCACACCTCACCCTTCTGCCAGCCCCTTCCTTGGATTCCTGTAAGAAATGGGGCTCAATTTAAAATTATGGTTCTTGCTTTCAAATCTCTACATAATGCTGCTCTCACCTATCTATCCTCCCTAATACACAAGTATGTCCCGTCTAGGCCCTTACGCTCTGCTGAAGACTTACGTCTATCTCGAGGGCTGCACCGTTTCTGTGGAACTCCTCTCCTCCGTTAGATGCTCACCTAGTCTCAACCCCTTTAAAAAGAAAAAAAATCATTAAAAACCCACTTCTTCATAAAAGCGTATCAATTAAACTGTTAATAGCTCCTGACTGATTCCTCTCTTGCAACTGTCATTAGTCTAATACTATCCTTACCTTTTTGTGTCATTTTACCACACTCCCTCTAGCATGTAAGCTCATTGAGCAGGGCCCTCAACCCCTCTGTTCCTGTGTGTCCAACTTGTCTGGTTACAACTACATGTTTGTCCACCCACTGTAAAGCGCTGCGGAATCTGTTGGCGCTATATAAATAATAACATAATAATAATTACAAGGAATGGCTTAATCTTTCCAGCCTTGTGTTTAAGAGCTTTTCTGGGAAGCTCCCTCCCTACCTGAGCAGAATACTCTTCCCGGCTGTTCCCACCTCCTATAAACGCCGATCTAGGAGCAGCACTTTACTTAGTCTACCTTAATACAAAAAGAAAGCAGCCCGATCCTCCTCCTCCTACAGAGCACCGCAATTATGGCACGACCTCCCGCACACTTTCAAATCTTCCCTAAGCCTAAAGTCCTCTAAGAGATCCCTCTCTACATACCTCAAAACAGAATGGACCTGTCATGGTTGATTATATATTTCCTATCTGTTCTATGTTAAATTCTGTATATATTGTGTATTAATATTGTTTTTATATTTTATTGTACCATAATGTATCAGTGCAATGATTTGTGGACATACTTGAAAACGAGAGAAATCTCAATGTATCTTTCCTGGTGAAATGTTTTATAAATAAATAAAATTAATAATAAATAAATCTCATCCCAAATCGACATATTTCCACCTGATCAATCATGTTTGGGATGCAATGGGGGTAATTGGAGTTTTTGGTATTTTGCATCTTCAAAGTTTATTAAACTAAGAATCAGAACACAATAATACTTTAAAGTCTGCTTTTAATACCGAGGCAATAGACTCCATCCCCACACCCAGTGATGGATTAATGACTAATAATCTTTGTTTTTACACACGGTGAGACACTTCAACTTGAAAATACTTGTAGCTTTTTGTTTTCTTTCACCTAAAAGCGGAAGAAATTTCCTTTTTACACATACGTGCACTACAGGTAGGAGCTGACTGTACTCGATACCATAATATGTGCAGTAGGAAATGGCATTCCTCATCTTAATCGCAGCCAGACTAATCTCAAGCTTGAAACTCTGATTATGGAAACCTTTGGGATTTTATGGAGTGTTGCCCCTTACTGAATAAATTAAAGGAACACTCTACTGTTAGGAATACAAACCTGCCATCTACTTCTTGTCAGTCCTCCTTTGAAGCGCCAGGAACTGACGACACTGCTGTACTTTTGTGCATGTGAGAGAGTGCAGCATTGAGGTCTATGGAGGCCTAGGCCGCGGGGTGCTCCATAGATAAAGCCGTCACTAATGACAGCTGGGGGATTGACACTTCTAGACGACGGTAGCTCCACCCAGTGTCTAGACGCGTCGGGCGTAGGAAATATACAGAGACAAAGTGGTCCCTGCTTCGTCTCCGTATATGTCTTGACTGGGACTGAATTTCAATGAAATCCCAACCCAGTCAGTATGAGTATTTTATAAAGATTCTGTCTTTGTGAAATACCATTCATGCACGTACCAGGGGTGCAGATAGTGGTTTGTTTTCGCAATGTTCTCCTATTCACATAGCAAGCAAAGTGCTAGAGAGACAAATACGCACCTCTGAGAGGGAAAAAGCCAAAATTGACACCGGCGGCCAGGCAGAAGCAATGGCTGCGTCTTGGATGGACGCTGCAATGGCTGCCGCAGTGGGAGTGGCAGGGAACTGACTGTGCCCCTCCAGCTGCTGTGCAACAGAATTAATCATTGAGAAGAACAGTGGTAATTGTTGTATTGTTAGGCCGACTATTGAGATTAATTTTCCATATTACACACATTTAGTGTTTTGTATTCTACGTATATTATATTATATTGTGTTTGTTTATACATACTATAAAATATCTGAATTTTATTGCAAGTACATATTCCCAGCAAACCGTTTTGCTGATAGAATTGTTACCTGCTGAATTCAAACAAGCTCCTACACATACTGGGAAGTTTACTGCGTAAAATAGTAATAAAAATTTGATTATTAAAGTGTTCTAATGAAAGTAAATAATCAGTTTCCGAGTGATGTTTCAAGCCTCACGTAGATAGTTTCCCTGGAACGCTAAACCCTATTAGCAGTGTGGCTGGCTGAGTCATGGATTTAACACTCTGAGAGCTAGGACAGGTCATCTGTTATGTTTGTGGTAGTGAACTTGTCTTTTTAAATGGTGTTCAAATGTCAAGCCTAATTGTTCTGTGCTTTTGATTAACTAAGTCCCATGATCCTTTGCCTCTTGTAGTCAACACTTTTCGTTAATAGCTGGGGACATTGGCACAAGATAAGGATAGTGTTTTAATACTTGGGGAATTCATTACTGGCAGAAGGTATAGGAAACAAATCCTGTAATCCAAATGAATGATGGAAGATCATGGGAATTGTAGTTCGTAAGAGCTGTAAAGTTTCTGGTTGCCTACTCCTGCTTTGCGATTAGGGGTTATTATTGCAGTATCCTACCTTTATCAAGACCTATCTGGTTTTATCTTCTTGTATGTTTCTTTTACAAATTGTACGGCCTTCTGTTATGTTGGTACTTTCTCAATACAACTTGTAACTCCCGGGTAAAGTTCTAAAAGACTAAGATTAGAGGACCCATTCTTTGGTTTCCATGGTAATGTCCATTTTAGGACGTTCCCCAAACTGCTCTTGTTAGACAGCCCCCTTCAGTTTGCTTTGTTTGGTTGCGAGTATGTAGTGCAGGATATACTTGCACAGGTGGGAAGACTCTTAAAATGCCTACAATTAAAGGAACCCATCACACTGTGTTCAGAATATCATTTTAAAATGGGGCTGTTTGCATTTCAGCACAACGTTATTGGATTGTTACCCATTTGAGCCTTTTATAGGCATGTTTAGGGTTATATTTGGTGTGAAACTATCCGAGCATGCCTGATGGTAGTTGTAGTTCACAGCATCTGGAGTGCAGAACTTGGCTACTTATTTTTGGACTACCATTACCTCGTAGGAGAACAATGGTAGTTACGTACCTTGGTTTTTGTTAGCGTTACACTGCTGTACCCCTACTAGGCAAAGTCTGTTTAGGCAGCACACTCACCTGGCGTGTTTTTATTTTTTTTCCAGTTAATTGGGATACTGTTTGGAGAGCAAACACTACCAAGAAGTTCCTCGTCCATACAGACATGAACCGGAACGTGGGATTGCTGCGGATATTTCCTGGGATCACAGCTGCAACTGTAGGTGTACAAACTCTGATTTGCCCTTCAGGGAACACCTATAGAATTCATTTCATTTAGTTGTATGAAGCATTTAAAAAAAAATTAATTTAAGAAGAAAGCACATTTGTGGGGAATATCTCATCAACCCATTCTTGTTTCAAATGCATTATATACATCAGGGCTCACAATTTATACTCTGCTAGACAGGCGTAAAAGTTATTTGCCATGGCAAGCCTGAAGGGTCCACTGCACATTTACCGGGGGGTGAATTACGGCTCATCAGGGCTGAATTATTACTCTCCAACTGCTAGTGGCCCTGTCACAGTCATGGGAAAAATACATTAAGAGAGCTGTGCATAAACAAATGCCAGCAAACCTCCATGAACTGAAGCATCGTTGTAAAGAAGATTGGGCCAACACTTCTCCACAACGATGTGAGAATGATCACGTCATTCAGGAAACGATTACGATAACGAAAAGTTATTGCATCAAAAGGGGGTTCTACAAGCTGTTGAATCACAAGGTGTACTTAGTTTTTCACACATGGCTTCTCCATTTTGGCGTTATTTTTTTATTAAATCATGACACGGTCTATTATGTCAGGTGTTGTTGATGTATTTACCTAATTTTAAGACATGTTAAGGAACAGATGATCGTTATTATGTCCTGATATATAAAACCGTAGAATTCAAAGAGGATGCACTCTGTTTCTCCCATGATTGTAGATGATGAATAAAAAATAGGCAAATAAAACAAATGAAAATATTGAGTACGCAAGATAAGCATATAATAACCGTTTATCACTTGAATATTTGTTTTTACACAGTGATTACCAGAATGCACGGATTACAGAATTGCAAAGTAATTATTTCCGTCACAACGCTGTATCACAGCTCAGACTGTGTACGTTCATACTTCAACGTTAAAACAAACTGAAAATAAAGATTGTCCAAAACAAAATTAGGCTAAAATAATTACTTAAAAATATTTAGAAAGATACTATGCTTTGTTGAAAATTCTTAGACTTCTGAATCTGAATGGTAAACATGAGCAAAAGAAAGTCATTTTATGAGACACAACTAAACGTGATAAAAAACAAGCGAGTACTGAAAAACACCCCCCCACACACATACCACCACCACCACCTGCAGCAGTGAATTACATTTTAGGGTGCTGTGACTTGGATAGTATAAAAGTTGGCATTTGAGGCTGCATACTAGACTGCGTCTGATTTTCTGTACATGCACGTTTATGACTATGTTATCCGTTTAATAGTTTGTATGTTGCATTTTTTTATTTTTAATTACCCATGCAATTCATTGAGATATTTTGTGTACACCTCTTGTAAATAGGTCAAGGCATTCCTGCAGCCCCCCATGGAAGGCATTGTACTTGAAACATACGGGTCTGGCAACGCTCCTGATTGCCGGCTGGATTTACTCGGTGAACTTAGGGCTGCCACAGACCGCGGGGTGGCAATTATGAACTGTACGCAGTGCTTGCGAGGCTCGGTCACAATGTCTTACGCAACAGGAAAGGTATTGCAGCCACTGCATTTTTTTTTTACATTTATTTTTACTCAAATTGAAACTACTGCATAGTAGGGAAAGGTATGATCTACTTGTATTTCTGGGAATTCTGGAAATGTAGTCTGAGATTGGATGCCACTGTGTATAAATACTTATGCTTTATTAGAGCCAAAGAACTCAGTAGAAAGGTGCCATTTAACTCTCTCGGTACTGCAGCTGTGAGCTGCAGTTTTTCCTTTCCTGCAGCACTGAAAATGTTGTTAGAATTAGCCAGCTAGAATCTGCGTGGTGAGGGTTTAGAGGGATGTCTAAACTGCACAAACAGATGCCTCAGGCTGCCCTTCATACCTGCTTTTATTTTTAGAATGCAAACAGAAAAACAAATTGAATAATAAAAAGATACTCCTGTTTGAAGTTTCTGTACTTGATGCAAATCCCATTATTTAATACCTATCTAGTGATCTTTCGCCAAACCAGGAATATATTTAACCACTTGAGATGCTCACTTCGTTTTCTATTTTGCAGTCACAATGCTCAATTCTCTGCCATTTAGGAGTTAGATCACTGTTTATGCAACCCTAGTCACACCTCTCTGCATGTGATTTGCACAGTCTTCCTAAACACTTCCTGTAAAGTCATCTTATCTTTATACTTCCTTTATTGCAAATTCTATTTAATTTAGAATGTCTTATCTCCTTTTCTGTTAATAGCTTGCTAGACCCTGCAGGAGCCTCCTGTATGTAATTAAATTTACAAAGCAGGAGATAAAAACTTCTAAAGCAAATTAATATTGGATTGAAAGTGAAACCAGTTTTGTTTTCCTTTTCTTAGTGCAGGCTGTGTCAGTTATAGCCTGGGGTGGTGTGGCTAGGGCTACAGAAACAAATGTCATTTAACTCCTAAATGGCAGAGAATTGAGCAGTGAGACTGCAGAGGCATGATCTATACACAAAAACTGCTTCATTGAGCTAAAGTTGTTTTGGTGCCTGTAGTATCCCTTTAAGCTTGGAGAGGCAGTTATTTTTAAAGTGGCACAGCACTAACACTAAACTAACAAGATAAGTTCACGCTGCATTATCAGTATACCTCTTATAGGACCGCTATAGTGCCAGGAAAACAAACTCGTTTTCCAGGCACTATAGTATTAATAGGTCTCCCCCCACCATCATGGCCCCCCTTCCGCCGGGCTCTAGGGGGAGGAAGGGGTTAAAATCTTACCTTTCCGGGTTCCCTCGGCGCTGGGGACTCTCCTCCTCCTTCCGACGTCATCGGCTGAATGCGCATGCACGGCAAGAGCAGTGCGCGCATTCAATCAGTACATAGGAAAGCATTCTCAATGCTTTCGTATGGACGCTGGCGTCTTCTCACTGTGAAAATCACAGTGATATGCGCGGAAGCGCCTCTAGCGGCTGTCAATGAGACAGCCAATAGAGGCTGGATTAACCCTAAAGTAAACATAGCAGTTTCTCTGAAACTGCTATGTTTACAGCAGGCAGGGTTAACCCTAGATGGACCTGGCACCCAGACCACTTCATTAAGCTGAAGTGGTCTTGTTGCCTATAGTGGTCCTTTAAGAGCAATAACATTTTTAAAAAAATAAAAGTGTGAAGTTGCTTAAACGTATTTAGAGTTAAAGGACCACTTTAGTGCCAGGAAAACATACCGTATATACTAGAGTATAAGCAGAGTTTTTAGGCACATTTTTTTTGTGCTGAAAAACCCCCATTCGGCTTATACTCGAGTCAGTGTCTGTATTATGGCAACTTACATTGCCATAATACAGACCAGGACCGCCGGACTCATTACAAGCCCGGCGGTCCTGTTCAGCTCCCTTCACCTCCATTCCGTTCACTTCCGTTCCCTGCAGCTCCAGTGTGAATCTTGCGAGACCCGCGGCCGTCAGAGCGTTGCCACGGTTTACCGTGGCAACGCTCCGCACGGCACGCAGACCCCGAGACTTACACTGGAGCTGAACGGAATGGAGGTGAAGGGAGCTGAACGGAGCTGCTGCACAGGTAAGTAACAGTTTGCTCTCGGCCCCCCTCCTGCACAGTCCATGCCACTGGACCACCAGGGATTGAGATAGCCCTCCCTGGCCATGTATCAAGCAGGGAGGGGGGGACGGGAAAAAAAATTAAATATCTAAATAATACAAAATATTAAAATAATATTATTATAAAATAAAAATGGTTTTAATAATATTAAAATAAAATTAAAAAAAATATAATAAAAATGCCCTCCCCCACCAAGGTAACACACACTATACACACACACACACACACACACACACACTGCGTTATACACACACACACACACGCACACACTCTGCATTATATATACACACGCACACACACTCTGTATTATATATACACACGCACACACTCTGCATTATATACACACACACACACACACACACTCTGCATTATATATATATATATATATATATATATATATATATATATATACACACACTCTGCGTTCATTATATACACACACTGTAAATAAATATTCAAATAATATAATTTTTGGGGGATATAATTTTATTTAGAAATTTACCAGTAGCTGCTGCATTTCCCACCCTAGGCTTATACTCGAGTCAATAAGTTTTCCCAGTTTTTTGTGGTAAAATTAGGTGCCTCGGCTTATATTCGGGTCGGCTCATACTTGAGTATATACGGTACTCGTTTTCCTGGCTCTGTAGGGTCCTTGGTTCACCCTCTGGGTCCCCCCCCACCCCCGCCGGGCTCTAGGGGAGAAAGGGGTTAAACTTACCTTTTTTCCAGCGCCGGGCTCCCTCGGCTCTGGGGACTCTCCTCCTCCTTTCCCGTCATCGGCTGAATGCGCATGCGCGGCATGAGCTGCGCGTGCATTCAGTCAGTCCATAGGAAAGCATTCACAATGCTTTCCTATGGACGCTGGTCTCTTCTCACTGTGAAAATCAATGAGACAGCCACTAGAGGCTGGATTAACCCTATTATAAACTTAGCAGTTTCCCTGAAGCTGCTATGTTTACAGCTGCAGGGTTAATCCTAGAGGGACCTGGCACCCAGACCATTTCATTAAACTGAAGTGGTCTGGGTGTATAGTGGTCCTTTAACCCCTTAAGGACACATGACGTGTGACATGTCATGATTCCCTTTTATTCCAGAAGTTTGGTCCTTAAGGGGTTAATGGCATGCGTTTGCTTAATTGTCATATTATTGCACGGCTGACTAGCTATCGTTGATGATGGAAACTATACATGTGCTGGTCTCTCTTCTGGGTTGCCTTTTCAGTAGTGAGATCAGGCAATGCACAATTTCAGGACTTTATCAGTGGGTTCTCCCTGAGCTCATTGTTGGTTCCAGGTGTACGGGCTTTACTGGGTATTGCTACTTTGTTACATTGAATATTACAGAGAAATGCTTCCATTGGGCTATGTTTGCTCAAAGTATTAATTCTCAAATGGCAGCCTCTCATTCTAGTTTGCCACAACCGTATCCACTTCACTCTAACATCAGAGATCTTCAGAAGCCCGCCCATTTTCAACACCTTTAATATCTCCCAAATGATTCTAGTCTCAAAGCATTGTTATCTCTGAAGAGCTACACCCATGCCTTCTTGTGCCTTTTTATTGCTAGGTCTGCGTAACTAGTTACTGCCAACACTGAGTTGTCCTCACTTCCTGTGAAACGGTCAATGCTGAAGTTGGACACAGATCACTGTGAGCAATTCACAAGCTGCATTTGAGCAATCAGTCAATCATTGCAGTTCTTTTGGGATACTTGAATTACTTTATTTGTCATAGAAATTTTAAACACATTTTCATGTCCTACACAACCACATGAGGGAACCTGTCCTGGAAAACACAGTTAATCTCGCAACCCTAGTCAGAAAAAAAGAAAAAAAAAATTCCTTCCCTTATCTTTGTGAGGAATAATAATGTGAGTCCGGTGACAATTGTTGCACCTGGTGAGAGAAGAACTTTGGAAAGTGAGCAGTCTAGTTTGGTTGAAGGACTTGAGATGGATTTCCTGAGATCCTTTGGTTGATGCCCTTAACAGCTCGTTGCCTACAATCTGGTAATGGAGAAGGCAGTAGGTTATAATATTTTCTAGTATTCTCAAATAACTGTCCCAGAAATTGTGCTTCCTTTAGTATTCATCTGCCCCTGGAATGATATTAAAAGATACAACAATTATGTTAATTTAGAAGTTTAAATGAACGTAATAATTTTAATATTATGACCAGCAGTGGAAATATACCCAATCTCTGGGTTGGCCAACCCAACAGATGGCAGACAAATAACTTATTTATTTCACCACGATCATTATATTAACAGATTCATTTTTTGTTACCCTTTTCATCTCCAAATTATCTCTGCAGGCTCTTAGTGAGTGTGGGGTCATCCCAGGTTGTGACTTAACTCCAGAAGCAGCTTTGGCAAAATTGTCCTACGTTCTGGGTAAAACTCATCTCAACCAGGAGGAGAAACGAAAGGTATGACAGAGGGCCAAGGCTTAAGATTCAGTAGTCAAGCATCTTGCATTTTATTATAATCAGTTTTTGGTGTTAAACATCATGTTCCAAAACAGATATCCAATTGGGTTTAACTTTCCCATGGCACTAGTACAGGAGAATGCATTGTTCCATTGTGTGTAGGCTATATACCACAATGCATTCGTTTTATTGGCAAATTATTTACCCAAACGTTCTACCAAATAATGGTATGACCAGGAAGAATGCTGAACATGGCCACATCCATTGGGGGATATTTATTCAAGTGATCTAAAATGTGACTCTCTTCGTAATAGGAAAATTTTCATTTCAGGAAACTGCCAAATTTGTTGTGGTGGAAATATTCCTAAACATATTGCATCAAAGGTATAAAAATAGCACATTTTCAAAATAGGCCTTCAGGTGCACAAAACAAACATAAAAACCAGATGTAATAAATTTCACCAGGAATTCACTGAAACAGAATAGCTTTGATATTACGATTGAAATACCTCATTCTGAGAACCCAGCTTTGTGATTTGAAGAAGTTATGGTGCCTGGAGCTATGTTCTATGAAATGTTGCACATGCAGAGATTAACCCCACCTCCAGCAGTGTCATTGGGGGTCGTTAGCCAAACCAGACAGGCTACTATGAATTCTGTGCAAAACTGGCATCTGGAGTCATGCACCTTATAGCGTCACAACCCCCATCCTCTGCTCAGTTCACCCTTAATAACCTCATTCCCACTCCAGTGTGGGGAAGTGAAATCAGTCAAGAAGAACTGGGCTGATGGGAGAACTTTGTCTCGTCAATACAATAGAGGTACGATTTTAAGCTTTTTTTTTTTTTGCTCCCCCCCCCTTTCCATGTGGGTGGGAACAGACCAAAAAAGTAACCCTAACCAAAACCAGTGTTTTATGAAAACACTGGCTTTTGATTAGAGTAACGCTTTTAAATCAGGTAAATTCAGCATTTTTAAGTATACATTCTGTAATGAACAGTCAAATTATTAAATGTATAGCTTAAAAAGATAAAGTAACCTGTTCTCCACGTCCAAGTTGACGTGCCATGGCTGCTACAATATAGCAGAATTTCCTACGAAGGGACACACTGTGATATTTGGAATGGCAGAAGCTTTGGGGTCCATTCAATAACCAGTAATTATCAATAATTTAAAGAGTATTCAAGTGTTTATTGCTGTGAGCCCGCTGCGAGTGGTTTGTTGACACTGTGCGTGTGCTATTTGTAGATGCTGTTTGAAAATCTCCGAGGGGAAATGACAGTAAGTGCCACTGGAGCCAAAATCTCTCTCCGGGACAGCAGATTCATTCAACTCGTTGCCAAATCTGTTGGCGTGAGCTGCAAAGAGGTACACAGAGAGAAACTGAAGATGCATTTTTATAATTCTTCGTATGTAAGTAAATGGTTTAACAAAAGGTTCGTGGCTATACTGGAAAGAATACAATAACCACAAAAAAAAACAAAAAAGTGGGTTGTTTATGCACGCCAACTTCAAAGATTTGATCGGAGACATCTCAGCTTATTTGGAGGCTCTAGTTGTCTCGCGTATCTATAGATGAAAACTGCTTGTATGCGTTTAATTGAATTTCAATTTTATTTTAGCTTTAAAGGATCACAAATCTGTGTTTGTCTACATAAACAAAACATAATGTTGATGAATGACTATTAATTATGCCAGCTACTGACCTTATGTATCTCCATGTTTTCTTCTTAAGATATATATAAATATATATTCCCATTTCCCGTCTGCCACATATATTTCTTAGCAGGTGCTTGGAATCTGTTCAATTTGTCAGACTCGTTAAATGCCAGATTTGCATATCTAACACCTTTAACTGTGTGAATCTGATAATTGCTGATTAAAACCCTTACTTTCTACTTTGTTTTGTCTTATCTCATTATTTGTCCGCTTCCATCAAATGCTGTATAGGTTTAGCACATAAGAGGTAATTAGCTTTACTGCACACCTGATTTACCATAACCACTTGTTTTAGGAACTGGAAGCTGTCAGAGATGCGTTAACACCAGCTTTAGCTTGTGCCGCTGCTAGGACTGGGGACATAAACGCTTTGGAGGCAATTCGTGACATGGTAACAAAACTGAAATTTTACAATACTTAAATTTTATATACAATGCAAAGCTCAATTTATTATTCATCTTAAAAGGACATTCCACTCCCCAAATAAGAAAACACTAATTAGTATATAAACCACCAAAGAACACATACGTGCATTTTTTTTTCATTGAAGGTACATCTAAAAACAACTTGCAAATGCTGCAGGTCTCTTGTCTGCAGCCTCTGCAAACCATCCCCCTTTAGCCCCTCCCAGACTTTCTGTGGCTGTCCAATCGCCGACTTCCAATGCAGCTCAATGAGAAGTCTTTGCTAGACAGGTGTTCTGGACAATTGCTGCCTCTTGAGTTTTTCTCCACTGGGCTAAACAAACCAGAAAGTAACAGGACCTGTTGTTGGATTGACAGCAGGGGGTGTAATTAGTATAATTTATAAAAAAAAAAAAAAGAAATTACTGAATTTCTACTGAAATCACACATACAGCATTCCAGCAAGCTGGAGTGTCCGTTTAAGTCTGGCTTTGTCATTGCACTGCCATACCCAACATGCTTAGTTTGATGGAGAATTTAAAGTGTCAATATGTAAAAAAGTTTTTACATAAAATAGACATTTTATGTGAGACCTTGGCCACTAAAAACTAAAAAAAAAAGCATCCTTTTGGAGCAATCAAAGTTTAAATATTCATAGGTTTTACTTCCATACACACATGTTCAAATGTATTTAAATATGCTTATTGTACAAGGTACACTTATCGTAAAATATTTTGTCTTAATTTTGTTATTTACACTTTATCTTCGTTGCCTCAGTAACAAGATCTTTGTTTTTGTTGCCCTGGTGACCAGGGAGGAAACTTAAGCAGCGAAGACTATGATGGCCGAACACCTTTACATGTTGCGTCCTGTGAGGGGCATTACACAGCGGTTCAATATCTTTTAAAGCATGGGGCCACGGTGTACGCTAAAGATCGTAACGGAGATACGCCGCTGATGAATGCTGTGAAATTCAGGTAATTGTGAAAATACAGATGTACACCTTAATTGGATCTTCCCAGCATATCTGTGGGATGGAGCCTGAATAACAGCGCATGCCTTGGCAGTGTAACTCCCAATAATCACAGCAAGGCTGCGGCACTGATCTTAGGGTCCTTGGATTGCACAGTCTGAGTCGCAATGAGCAATGTAGTTTTTATTGTAAAATGTGACAATTTCACCCACTGGCAGAATGAGACAAAATATACATATTTTTACTTTATTTTTTCAATCTGATGGCAAACCGTGTATGAAGGGACAATAAAATGCTGATGATACTAAGATATGTAACAGGATTGATGTTCCAGGAGGAATAAGCCAAATGACAAATGATTTAGGTAAAATAGAAAAATGGTCAGAATTGTGGCAACTGACATTTAATGTGGATAAGTGCAAGATAATGCATCTTGGACGTAAAAACTCAAGGGCAGAGTACAGAATATTTGATAGAGTCCTAACCTCAACATATGAGGAAAGGGATTTAGGGGTGATTATTTCTGATGACTTAAAGGTAGGCAGACAATGTAATAGAGCAGCAGGAAATGCTAGCAGAATGCTTGGTTGTATAGGGAGAGGTATTAGCAGTAGAAAGAGGGAAGTGCTCATGCCATTGTACAGAACACTGGTGAGACCTCACTTGGAGTATTGTACACAGTACTGGAGACCGTATCTTCAGAAGGATATTGATACCTTAGAGAGGGTTCAGAGAAGGGCTACTAAACTGGTTCATGGATTGCGGGATAAAACTTACCAGGAAAGGTTAAAGGATCTTAACATGTATAGCTTGGAGGAAAGACGAGACAGGGGGGATATGATAGAAACATTTAAATATATAAAGGGAATCAACACAGTAAAGGAGGAGACTATATTTAAAAGAAGAAAAACTACCACAACAAGAGGACATAGTCTTAAATTAGAGGGACAAAGGTTTAAAAATAATATCAGGAAGTATTACTTTACTGAGAGGGTAGTGGATGCATGGAATAGCCTTCCAGCTGAAGTGGTAGAGGTTAACACAGTAAAGGAGTTTAAGCATGCGTGGGATAGGGATAAGGCTAGGGACTAATGAAAGTATTTAGAAAATTGGGCAGACTAGATGGGCCGAATGGTTCTTATCTGCCGTCACATTCTATGTTTCTATGTTTCTAAAATCGTGAATGTGTTTTGAAGACAAGACTAAAATGTGTCCAGAACTTTAAGATTGCATTATTTTCCCTAACACATACTTTAACATTATGTGTTGTTTATATTGAATATTTTTTAGGGTTAGGCTTGTGTTAAAGAAACACTCCATTGTCCAAAAAAACCAAAACCCCACAAACACGGTTTAGTAGATATATCCAAGGAAAACATACATGCATTTATATATGCATTTTTCATTGGCGATGTGTCTAAAAACCGCCTTCAGCATTTGCAAGCCCTCCTCTTCTAACCCCGCCCAGAATTTCTGCATCTGTCCAATCACAGACTTCCCAATGCAGCTCAATGAGACGTTTTTGCAAGGTGCTCTGGGTAGTTGCTGCCTCTTGAGTTTATCTCCACTGAACTAACCAAACCAGGATGTAACAGGACCTGTTGTTTAACAGCCGGGAGGTGTTACAAGGTGCATTTATAAATGTGGACATTTCTAGTGAAATCTGCTTCTTTTGTAAAATGATAAAGCATTTCAGTAAGTGCTTTAGGCAGGCTGAAATGTCTCTTTAAGGTAGTGTAGCGATTAATGTTTTGTGTTATGTTAATGTTTAGTGATAGTGTTTGTGCAGTGTAGGGGTTAAGTGAGTACTTTTTTGGAAGGAAATTACAGTAACATGCATGTATCAATGATGCCTAGATTTGTAAGAGTTACAGTCCTGTGGGACAGCTATTTTAGCTTTGGTAACTCCCACCAATCTCAGGCAGACAGGAACATGCCACCACCTGTGCAACACCCAGGTCTAAAACATGATCTGCCGTGTAAAATAGTGAGCAGCTAATGCTAAACAGATACAAATCCATTTCTAAATGTAGTTTTTGTAATGCTTTCTTACACCTTGTAACAGCTAGCTTCAGGCTGTAAGAAATAATCTAAGATCTTTCACTTTTTCCTAAAATGCTGCTTTTAATTCCTCTTCCCTCACCTTTTATCTCCAGCCATCCACAAGCCTAGCTAAATCTAATCTGCTGTCTTTAGATACTCCAGCTACTGAGCAGTGACCTTCTGGTGACTTTTTTAATTTAGCTGAGAAGGGATTTGCACAGCTTGGCATAGTTAATCAACTATTACACCATGTTGTGGGTGGGGGAACTGGCCAAGACAAGGTTAAATTAAGAAATCATAAGAGGCGGCAACATTCTCCTAATATGAGAAATGGTGCGATTGGCCGTGCCCAGGCAGTGCCCTGGGTGTTTCTCGAAGGTTTGTTTTAGATTTATGTTTTGTTGCCATTCCTGTCTGCAGGCAAGTAGCCAATGTGTTAAAACTTGGCTTTGTACGTCTGTGCGCACGCTCACGTCCTTACAAGCTTTGTGTTACATAATGTTATCTAACGAAGGGGTTTTACGAAAGCTTGCAGAAGCCCAAAACCCTGTAAGCCGATTACTAAATCTTTATGGCCGTACGCAGGGTGTCTGCAATTAAAACCATGCCATGGACTCTGTTAGAAAAGTTAAAGGGTGCTGAAACCTCCCCACTTCTCAATCAGCTGTACTAGAGCTTGTTAAGAAGCATTGGAAACACACAATCACGTGTGTGCATGACTCCTGCATCGAGACTTCTCACTGAGAGGCCTCTGATTGGTGAGTTCCCTGGCATGGGCTTCCAGGCTGAGCCAGGGATAAAGGGGGGACACTGAGAACGGGCTAAGACCTACCTTCCCCTTCAGTTAGTTCCTACTCAAGTCTCACAATCCTTTTCTGTTTTGGCCCGTTTAAAAATTGAACGTTACCTTCTGTTGCTACAAACAAACGTGTATTTGGTTTTTGAGACTCGTGTCTAGTAGTCGTATTTGTTAATTTTATGTGAGCTGATAAACTCAGGGATGTTTGGTTTTATAACAGTTTTACTTTGTGTAGGTTTTTATAAAATGTTTGCTCTACACTTGGTATGTAATGTTCATCTGCATTTGTTAATTTTTTTTTTATACAGCTTCAGGAGTAGCCGGTGTTTTGTTTTTGTGGAATACAGGAAGTTCAGAATGTTTGCACCGTTACATTTTAGTACCGTCTTAACGCACATTAATGTATTTTTATTTTTCGGTTGAAGACACGTGGAGATTATCCAGCTGTTGCGTCAAACCGGAGCGCATCTGTCATGGGAAGAACTGGAGCACAGTGGGACTGAACTCTGCAGGTAAGCAGAGTGCCGAGCGATTCGTTAAGAAGCTCCATGTGTAGGGGTTATAACGAATGGCAATCAGGATTTTGTGATCATGGACATATAATTTGAATATGGAAATTCCTGGATAGTGTATTGTTTTGTTTATTTTCTATCTGCAGACCTTCGTTTGTCAAAGTTCTAGAGGGCTTTCATAGGTTTCTCTAGAGCAAGAGTGTTCAAAAGGGTAGATCCCCAGATGTTTTTAAAAGTACAGCTTTCATGATGCTGTGCCATTCTAATGCATGCAAAGAATCATGGGAGTTGTAGTTCTACAACATCTAGGGATCTACCTTTTGGGCAGCACTGAATTTTCAGAATAAATAAGTAACAAAGTACTTAAAAATAGGACAATTGGCAGGAAAATTCTGTATGGGCTGCAATGGGAGTTACTACCACTTTGTCTCTCACAGATTTTTGTAAATTCTTCTCGTTTACAGAGAAGATGAGGTTTTTGTTTGTTTTTAACATTAGCATTTGGGTATTAATATTACTTTTAAATATTTTTATATATATAGATATATATATATATATATATATAGATATATATATATATAGATATAGATATATATAGATATAGAATGTGTGTGTGTGTGTATTTGTAGTTTTACTTCTCAATACCTATTACACAACAAGCCAACAATATGAAAGTAGAAATTGCCCATAGGCTTTGTGTGTAGTCAAAACTAGAACCTGTGTTTTTTGTTTTATATTACCCTCCTCTTCAATTAATTCAATTAAATTGTCACCTTAACCCCTTAAGGACACATGACATGTGTGAAATGTCATGATTTCCTTTTATTCCAGAAGTTTGGTCCTTAAGGGGTTAAAGCACCATACCAGGCTTGCCGCCTGTCATTTCTGTCCAAAGTAGGACAGAGAACAGAGCAATGATGGCATTATCTAATTTGCAGTAGAGGAGCCAGTCTACTTGTGTTGTGGGAGCTGCGGTTTTGGTCAGAGTAGGGGCTCGGTGCCCAAAATTCTTTGCACTATAACTACTTCAAAGATCTGTGCTTAAAAAGCCACCTTAAATTCACATGTAACACAACACATAAGAAGCAAATCTTATTGCATCAGAATATTCTGTGGTCGGAGAGCCGTGCTCTGTGAATGAGATCAGCCGCTTGTAAATGCTTGTGGCAGCAGGTGAAGCATTTGTTACACCTGCATAAACCTGTTAATCATATGTTTAGTGGCATGAAAGGGTGCGGCCTACCTGCCATACAAGTCTTTTTGGCTCATTTAATAAAACACACAAAAAAAAATCCTCCTTTGTACCTTGTCAGACGTAGCCTAAACCTGCATACATGCATTTTGTAAATCTGGCTGGAAGTCGAGCTCGGATTTTGATCTGATCCTTCTATACCAGCGTGCTTTCCGTATCGGTCTACGGAGAGTATGGTTTACACGTTTTTTTTTTTTTTTACCAATTCTGAATCTTTGTGGAATGACCTACAATAATGATCCTCTATCAAGAGTTAAAGTGGCAGCATCGTAGGAATCTAGTTTTTCAAAATTCTATTTAAATGTTTTTGTTTATATAAACCATAGAAACCTTTTCAGTATTAAAAAAAGATGCCAAATACATTTTGCTGCTCACTGGCATCCAAAAGGTCATGTAGATGCATGTGTTTAAAATGCGGTAACAGCCTGCCCCTTCTAACCCATTTTGTTAACAGATGGGAAATTTGATTTCTAATTTATTGCTCTGACTATTTAAACCCAAGATTTTACCATCCAATTTATTTTCTTGGCTGTAATCGTAAGCTAACAATGTCTTTTGAAACGAATCTTGAAAAAGCTGAATTTCAGTGTTTCAGTTAATTTTCCGATTATTACTATTTAATTTTTTTATTAGAAATGCAAGCAAACAGTATAGGCACAAATTGCATCGTTGATGACATAGAAACACGTTTTAAAATAAACAATTCGAATCTAAATGAAATGGAGTAATATTTTTGACGTGTAAAAATAAAATGTAGCAATCCACACTTCTTTATCCTGTTACTGGGCGCCTCCATCTTAGCCCCCTGTCAATCATAGTTATAAGCTCTGTCCTTTGTACCGGACAGTCGACATATGGCTTAGGCTGAACTGGATTCGGATGCCATTTAAAAATACATATTAAAGAAACAGAGCATATCATGGGGAAAACAAAAACAAAACAGTAACACGCGTTGGTGACAACTTTCAATGTTTTATTAAATTGTGTAAATTCCAGTGACAGTTCTCCCTTTTAATACCATAGGGCCGTAGCAGTGAGCCTTCCAAATTTATACTATCCTGTCTGTACTGAATGAGTGCATTTAAGGTCTATGAGGGAGATAAATTAATCTTAACCCCTTAAGGACCAAACTTCTGGAATAAAAGGGAGTCATGACATGTCACACATGTCATGTGTCCTTAAGGGGTTAAGAATCCTTTTGCTAAATCTTCATTCAGCAACGTTTTCCCTTCTATTTCTGACATTGGAAGCGGTCTGCAGAAGATGTGGGGAGTGGTGCATAAATTGCATTCCTTTCGTGAAAAGTCAGTAGCTTCATTTTTCTTTTTGCCCCACCTCGGATCAGCTTTACCTGTGTAACTGGTTCGGCCGAGTCTGACAATGATGGAATGCATCCTGCGACATGTGAATGAGTTTCAGGTGTTCTACAACCTGGTCAGTGTCTCCAGGAGGCATTGTAGGACATTATCCTCACATGCCTCCTGGCTAATGAATCACTTTTTATTCAATATATTTCCAGAGAGTGAGAAGGAAGCTACATGCATGACCTATTGTAAAAGGCTGTGTTTTAGGGCTCAGCACTTTTTTTTTTTTAGAGCAAACTTTATCTGCGACACCGATGTAGCTTTCTGAAACAGGTTATGAAAAAATATAGAAGTTGTACTTAAATTTTCTGTTTTGACCTAGTGCGATTCTCTATGGCGGTTTGTTTGCAGAATTCTTTAGGCAGTTTCTCTGCATAGTTTGAATGCCCCTATTTAATGTATTCCCCTGAAAGGCGCTGTTCTCGACACTCCTAGATTATTGTTATGGATTAGTAGATGGTTTAGGAGCCACTGACAAATGAAATGCCCAACTTACTGGGTATCATGTAGGCTCTGAGATTGTTTTTTTTTTTTTTTTTCTATGGGCTTAGGAAAGTACAAATTATAAGCTGCTACGAACAACCTCTGATATTTAAAGCATGTGTAGGAGCTGGTGTATTAAATGGCAGTCCACCCAGCAACTGTCGGACCGCGACTCCCAGAACGCACCGAATTTTAGTTCTGTGGCTGCAGTTGAATTGACAGGCACATATCAATGTCCTGTAGTTACATAGCCTAGGTCTCAACCCAAATCTTTCATTTAAACACACACACGGTTATGCATTAAACGTTCAGTAAGAATTCCAAAATTTAGGTAAAATGTTTGTGACTGCAGAAGAGTTGGGGTTTTATTCCTGATTGGCTATTTTAGCATTATTTCTCTCATTTGCTTTTTATTTGTAAAATTTCTGAGTTTATTGAATAACCCTGTTAAAGGGGGAGATGAAATCATCCTATTCATTTCTATTAATCAGAATTTACGTGCTGGGAACCCAAAATATTCCTTAATTTACAAACCTTACTTAGCGAGAACTAACTCGGAGAAGGCATTACTAATATTGGACATGGATTCAAATATCACATTAATAATTCATGGTTTGCTTCCGCTATCACTGGGGTAAATCAGCTGCCCCATCTACAATTAGAGAATCCGTCACCGATACTAATGGAATGTCATCCGGTCCCCCCCACCTTCCCCCGTATATGTTTTTAAACCTGTCACTGGTTAACTGGTTTTCTAACTGTTTCAATGTAGATACGAGAAATGGTTTGAATAGGTCTCTGAATGGTGTAATTGATGCCCTGTGATGTCAGAAGCACAATGTAAAGGAGATAAGACTGATGAGATCTCTTTATGAGCAACTGATTTATCAGCGAAAGGGCAAAAGTTATTACAACGGTGTCTGTTAGGAGATTTAAATGAACATTACGCTCAAAGCTTTTTATTTTATATTTTATTTTGTTTTAGGATTTGGAACGGGCTTAAATATTGTCATTGCCCTTCTACCTTGCGGGTGTGTAAACAATTATCTTACTTAGAAGTTCTATATAAAAAGCAAAAACATTTTTTTAGCAGATCGAAATATTGCCAAGGGTTGGAAACAAAATAGACAATGATGTGTGCTTTCATTTTGTCCTTGGTTAATCACTAGATATCAATCAGATACATTCACTTTCTTAGAGATAAGACTACCTCCTTGAAGCTTTCTAATTTCCTCCTGTTTTGTTGCACTGTTCAGTCTTGCTTATTGAGACCTTATCTCTCTGGCTACAAAGAGCATCATTTTTACACTTTCTGCACTGGAGGGAAGCCCTTTAATTGCACGTTTAACCTTTTCTGAGTTGGAAGGGTTAGTACCAGCACGTTAATATGTCAATATTTTTTAAACATTCTTCGCCTACTTTCTTCGCATGTCTAGAAATTAATTTACGTATAGTAGGTGCAATTGGCCTTTTAGGCATTCTAGAGGGTGCTGACCCCAAGAGTTGGTGCAAGAGTTTCCATTCAGTGCTTGTTAGGACCAGGGGTCACCTCTACACAAAGACTTAATGAGCAGACTGTGCAAAATGTCTGTCCTCAGGACAGGTGGCACAAACCAAAAGTCCAACGATCAATATGTTCTGTTTTAGAACCTTGTTCTTCTTTTTAACAGTTTGGCTTCCATTGGTGACGTTGATGGACTGACCGCTTGGGAATTCGCAGGAGCGGACATGAATCAAACAGGATATGATGGACAAACTCCATACCAAGTAGTAAGTGTGATATCGTGCGTGTGTTCCTATTTTGTCTCCCGCATATCTGAATGTGTTAGAATGTTTTTAAAGAAATTCCAGTACAGTCAAGACTTTTTCATAAATCTTCTATTAATTATGTTACAAATGTCTAACTGACCATACCTCAGAAACAGAGTTTTTTTTTTCTCTAACATTTCTTACACCAGGACTTGACAAATTTGCTTTGAATCTAGGAGCCAGTTTGAAAAGTTAGGAGCCAGTTTAATTTTCAACAACGAAAATACAATTCTTAAAGGGACACTAAGGTCACCAGAACCATTAAAGGCTAATGTAGTGGCTCTGGTGTCTATATAGCCTGTCCCTGCAGACTTTTCAATGTAAACACTGTCTTTCCAGAGAAACAGTCACTCAAACAGCCACTAAAGTGTCTCATATCTGCATGGAGGTGCAGAATGCTCCCCATAGAGATGCATTGATTTAATGCATCTCTTTGAGGAGATGCTGATTGGTGTAGCATTTTGCCGCGCATGCTCAATAGCTCCCAATGCTTTCCTGTAGGAAAGCATTGGATTGGTTGAGATCATCAAGATTGATAATCTCAGCTATGGAGACAGGCACGGCGTTGGGAAAAAATTCCAAAGCACACAGTCAAACACACATAGAGAGATGTCACTTGTACCCACATAAAAAAGATAATAGATATTTTTAGCCACCCTCCGGTTTCCTACCTTTTGAGTTCAGGAGGGTGGCTTCCCAGGGGTCCAGTGGGACTGGGCAGCAGGTGGTTGCAGGAGGGCTTGCTGCGGTTGATGGGGGAGTGGGATGCCGCTCTGTTTAGACTCCCCCTTCTGCTCCTGTATCTCTGTTCGCCAGGAGTAAGTGAACTTTAATGACTTTTTCCTTGCTCTGAGGCCGCACAGGGGAATGGGCGGGCAGCCGGCTCTGCAGAATGGAGGCGGGTTGAGGGCGTACTCTGCGGTATGCGGGCGGGGGCGTGCTCTGCAGTATGGAGGCTCTGTGGAATGGGGGCGGGTAGCAAGCAGAGCAGATTTTACTAGGTGTCCTGCCAGCTTGTGGTTCCTCTGCGTGGCCTCAGCACCGGAAGGAAGTAGTTACAGTTCCCTTCACTTCCTTTCGGCGCACGGCGTTGAGGCAGGAGGAGGAGGGAAAAGGCTAAGCAATCCCAGACGCCAGGGCAAAATTCTTAGTCGCCATGTCGACCTGGCCCTGGGGATTTGTTGAGCCAGGTCTTACACAACACCCATATGTGGAGTATTTAGGTTAAAACCAGTCATTAATAAGTTAAATTACAGTATTTAAACATTGGCACATTACCGGGTTGATAAAATATACCCATTATATACTGATCAAACGAAGGATAAAAACGTAGAATGTTGAGTGCAATCAAGAGGGTGGTGGAAACAATGTTGGGAGCACGTGAACTTGAAATATGAAGTTTCAAGTATGGTATTATCAGGTGTGTATTACGAGTTGGATTCAGTGCTGCTCTATGAGAAGCATCCTATTGGTGGATAGCCTGCCCCGAAAGAGGCAGAGAAGTTTTTAAATATAAAAAAGTGGGGTGGACAATAGTCTCACATTAAAAACAAATATGTATGTTCTGTGTTGGAGTAATGCATTTTGTATTTAGAGTGTTCCTCTAAAGCACATGACTTTTTTTTTTTCTACATTGTTACAGAGATATTTTACATTTTTCTTTCTTACAGGCAGAAGCTGTTGGCAATGAGGAGGTTTTGGAGTTTTTTAATGCTAAAAAATCTCAGGTGAGAATAACTTTTGCAGAATGTTGCATCATAATCCTGCCTCCTTAGCCACGCCTCCTCACTCCATAAAAAGACTTCCTGTAAAATGTATGTACACAGCTCAGCCACTGATAGAACTGAATGATGTGACCTGCATTAGGAGAGGACACCCACAGATACATATAGTAAGGACATTACTTCCTGTGTATAGAGTCTTTAGGTTATGAATTAAAAGTAGCATTTACTCAAAACACCAAAGCTGAGATCACTGATTAGCTAATAATCCAATAATGGACAGGAGTGGAGAACTGCAGTATTGATTAATCCCTAATACACAGACAGTAGCCAACGCCGTGATGTTAGGGGTTGAGCGGTGTCCATGCGTTTAATAAAGAAGGGTTTTTTTCTTGGTAGAAGGAGTTGAGTCTAATGAGAAAATCTTGTGATGCAGCAAGTAAATAATTTTTTATGTATAAAGATGCAAGCAGGCAAAAAAATATAGCATAATATATTAAAGTTGTATTGGTGCTCAGAGTGTCTCTTTTATGCCTGTTTTGTAAAGGGACACTGCACCATAACAACTTCATTGGAATTAAGTTGTAATGGCACATGAAAGTCGCGGGCGCCAGCTTACTTTTGGGGCTTTAACTCTGAAGTCTTAAATCCGGCACCTGTTTGCACCTGTTCTCAGTCTATTCGTAGTTTCAAAGTCACAAAACCAAGTGAAAAGATACATACCTTTATCATTGCATTTTGTGAAAGAGGAGCTACTGTTCGGTTTACTCCTAAAAGGCACCCTCCAGGTACCATAACAACTTCAAACAGGTCTGAGTGTTCCTTTTAGATAATCAAAGTTTTTTTTTTTGTGCTGATAAGGATGAGATTATTATTGGAATTCCTCCAAAACAAATGCAGAGCCAGTTTGAGAATTTACAAAGGATAGTAAATCTAGAGAACTCTCTCTGTAGGTGATTGTCTGTAAATTCATTTAATTTACATGATTTCATGGCAATGTTTGCCTGTGAGCATGTTTCTGACCCATTACACAATACATTAGGAGTTCCTTTTAGAATGATGCACAGCCCTGGTACATACATAGCATTTTCCAAATTTCACATGTGCGCATTAAATACAACTCCCTTAATGTCATTCGTGCGTAAATTATCCTCCCTTCCTTAAAGGGACAGTAATGGCATAGCTCAAGAAACGTGTTCAGAGTCTTCTCTTGTATTTTATTGCTGTAGGGAGCTGTGCATTTAAAACACTGCATAAAGAAGCCGTTAAATAGACAGACATAAACATGACTACTTGGTATTTTCAGCCAGGTATAATGCAACTTGGACAATAAGTAGAAAATACACAGATAATGCCTTAAAATGCAGTCCTTTTGGATTGATAAAAACTATAGCTGCCAAGTGTTCCTAATCTGGCAGGACAGTCCTGATTTCCCATGTGATCCCAGAGAAAATTGTGAAAAAAGTAAAAATGCATAAATGTTCCTTTAATTTTGTTACAAAAAAATGGCAGTGCCCATGTAATTTACTTAAAGGAACACTCCAGGCACCAAAACTAATTCTTGATCCAAAGAGATATCTCACTGCCATTCCGGGGTCGAGAAGGAATTATTTCCTAGTTTGTTACAGAATGCTGAGTTTTTTTGCCTTCTTTTGAATAAATAGCAAAAACAGATATGAGAGAGCCTGAACTTGATGACCGCATGTCTGTTTTTAGCCTATGTACAGCCCGATGTGGTGGGTATGGGGCCAACACCACAGTAAATTGTCAAACTGCTTTTAGTTCAGGAGAAGCCGAACATGTCTGTAGAATAAAGCACAGCCAAGTCAGGACAGTGTTTTTTGGCTGAAAGTGCCTAGCTGATGCTCTGAACTAATGAGTGTAGTGCCGCATGGCCTTGTTTTGCGTTGTGTTTGCAGGGAGAAGTTGTATTTGGGAGTGGGCTATTGCAGGAAGTGTAAAAAAAAAGCGCCTAAGCCCATGGCCATACATCTAATTATCTAAAGCCTCAGACCCTATAGAATAGACATACATCAGATTTTCACTGTGCCATTTGTTGCTAGTATGGCTCCATGTGCGATTCTGACTTTGAGAAGTATTGGATAGAGGTGGTTTGTCCAGTGACGTGTCACCATTGTCTATAATGAGGCAACCCACTGAACCCCCAGTCTACAGGACCTTGCAGAGAGTCCTAGTGATTTGTTCATGCTGAGCTACCAGAGGAGGGAGAGGTAGTTATTTTGGTGACTAGTGTTCCTATAAAGAGGACATGGTCACTATTTTAGGGGATTGACAAACCAGAGTCTCTACTGGCACACAGAAAATTCGTAGCAGAGAAGGTGGGCTCTATTACGGAACTGAACATTAGCTGGCTGGCAATGATAGGCTGAGAGTGATGGGGTTGGGGTTAATACACTTGTTTGTCAAAGTTTCCAATTAAAGGACCACTCTAGGCACCCAGACCACTTCAGCTTAATGAAGTGGTCTGGGTGCCAGATCCAGCTAGGGTTAACCCATTTTTTAATAAACATAGCAGTTTCAGAGAAACTGCTATGTTTATGAATGGGTTAAGCCTTCCCCTATTTCCTCTAGTGGCTGTCTCATTGACAGCCGCTAGAGGCGCTTGCGTGCTTCTCACTGTGATTTTCACAGTGAGAGCACGCCAGCGTCCACAGGAAAGCATTATGAATGCTTTCCTATGTGACCGGCTGAATGCGCGCGCAGCTCTTGCCGCGCGTGCTCATTCAGCCGACGGGGCGGAACAGAGGAGTAGAGAAGGAGGAGAGCTCCCCACCCAGCACTGGAAAAAGGTAAGTTTTAACCCCTTTCCAGAGCCAGGCGGGAGGGGGTCCCTGAAGGTGGGGGCACCCTCAGGGCACTATAGTGCCAGGAAAACGAGTATGTTTTCCTGGCACTATAGTGGTCCTTTAATCATTGATCAGTTAAAGTAGAAATTACAAAATAAATCTATCTGGATTCTAATGTTTCTCTATTTTTTATTCTTAGGTCTTTCTCAATGGAAACACAAGTGATAAAGATAGCTATTTAAGCAGCTAAGTGGTATTAAATATTACAGTGAGCACATCAAAAAATTTAACAATGCTGATTTCTAAAGGACCTAAATGCCTGCTTTCCTTAGTCTTTTGGTTCTGCGATATATCGGTGTTGTAAAAGTATTGACCTAGATAAGTTACACCATATTTATGTTTTATTTCATTACTGCGTTTATGTTGTGTAATGTGTGTGGATGTATTGTACTTTGTATGGTGGGGAATGTGTAGTTGTAATTGTATTTTATGTTTGAAGATATTTCTAATATTGTATTTTAATGTTTTACATTTCACCGTGTAAACGCTGGTGTGTTGTTTGTAATTCTAGACACACATCGCGTGTGATTTGCTGCTGTAATATGTAACCTACATTTGTTAATGCGTAATTGATCGTGAATGTACATTTTGTCTCTGGATCTAGAAATGTATTCTCAGTCTAGTCTGCTAAATTATCTCCTATTAAAGGAAAATGGCTGCTGCACATGAACCCCTACTCATGCACTATGGAAATAATTATATATATTTTAATAAGATATTCACCCCTAAATCACGGAGATAAACTGCTCCTTCATCAGTGTTTTAGTAGACCAGGAAAAAAATAAGGTCTCTCCACCAATCACAGTGGGGACATTGATCTCAATGGAAGTGCTGTTTGTGGAGGACCATTTATTTTGTACATGATCTAAAAGCAGCCATGTATTTTTAATAGGTTCGCAATGCAGTACATGGCTGCGTAACCTTTTAACAGAAAGCAACGACAGACCTGTACGTATCCCGTGAGCGTTCCGTATAGTAAAGTGTTTGCAAGATATGTACAGGTGTAGTTTTCATTTAGTTAATTCCTCTAACAATTTGACTGAGTTTGAAGAAAGGAGGGCCATAAGATAAAGGTTCTCTGTAGGCACCAAAACGTATTCTCATTGCGAACGTCACACTGGCTTATTACATTAGTATCTTCCAAAAAGAAGTAAAGTGTTAAGACTGTGCCTCTTCTTTCAGAGACCAGAGACGTAAGTTTCACTTCCTCCTTTGCCATCCAAAATCTGTCCAAATTTACCCCACACTGCTGGAGACTCGAGCTTGGGAAAGTGCTGTGCCTTTGCTTTTAGCTTATTTAACAGTTCCACTCATCATTAGGATCAGTGGAATTACAATGGACATGTCCTACAGGTTCTTAAACTCCTGCTGGCCAGGAGTCTATGAGAAAAAATCAGACCCTATTGACTAGAATGAAACCTCTTTCTGGTCAAGGGATTTCTGCTTTTACTGCTTGGCTCTTCCTTGGTTCTGTGTTTACCCGAATATTATTACAGCATTTCTGTCCATATTTCGACATCATTCATTCGATGAACACTAAAGCTGTCATTCAATGATTGCTGCCCAAACTTGGACAAAACTGATATCGCCATGGAGAAATGTAACGCTTGCATATGCAAAATGGCGGTGAGGCAACTGAACCTTGATTTGTGTCAATCCGGATTTAATTGTCCTATTAGCTACACAATAATAAATGTAAAACAGGACGTTAGAAAAAAATAGTTCACACACCAGCATGAAAAAAAAAAAAATCTACATTAAACTTTGTTTTGTTTGAAACCAATCAAGGAAAACTTGAAATGACGGGTCTGCTAAATTTTAACTATTTTTTTAATTTTATTTTTTTACGCAGAATAATCCATGTTCTGCCTGTGTAGAAAAGCACAATTTTGCAATCTTTGTACAATGCCAGTAATTGCACAATCCAATTAAAATGCAATATATAAAACGAAGTGTAGTATTAGGTTTATCGACATTATGTACGTTGGTCGGATCTGGTTGGAACTTCAGAGTACAACATATCACCACGAGTGGTCCAATTTTGCAACTATGGAGCGGAATTTCAACTAGCCACTCGTAGGTAGTGATGTTCACTACAGCCTCAACCCTAGCTGTAAAAGTCATTTAGATGATTTTGTTCAATGTGAAAAAATTTCAGAAATGTACACTTTGATATGTTGAAAAATAAAGCATGTATTTAAACAATGATGGATTCATATTCTTGTTTTATTTGAATAATTTCCAGATTTACAGCCTATTGCACTATCTAATCTAAACGCTTTAATATTTGACCCAAACATTCTACAGTTTACTAGTAGTGATGTCGTGAACATAACATTTTCGGTTCGCGAACGGCGAACACGAACTTCCGCAAATGTTCGCAAACGGGCGAACCGCTATAGACTTCAATAGGCAGGCGGATTTTAAAACCCACAGGGACTCTTTCTAGCCACAATAGTGATGGAAAAGTTGTTTCAAGGGGACTAACACCTGGACTGTGGCATGCCGGAGGGGGATCCATGGCAAAACTCCCATGGAAAATTACATAGTTGATGCAGAGTCTGGGTTTTAATCCATAAAGGGCATAAATCACCTAACATTCCTAAATTGTTTGGAATAACGTGCTTTAAAACATCAGGTATGATGTTGTATCGATCAGGTAGTGTAAGGGTTACGCCCGCTTCACAGTGACAGACCAAACTCCCCGTTTAACGCACCGCAAACAACCGCAAACAGTCCATTTGCACAACCGCAAACTCCCCATTTGCACAAGGTTGGATACCAAGCTAGCCATGTCCCGTTCCTTGTCCTCACTGATGTCATTGAAGGTCTCTTCCTCCACCCAGCCACGTACAACACCAAGGGTCCCCGAAAGGTGACAACAAGCCCCCTGGGACGCCTGCTGTGTTTGGTCTTCCACCTCCTCAAAGCCACCTTCCTCCTCTGACTCCTCTTCTTCAGACTCCTCTCTCTGCGTTATTATAAGGTGTGTTAAGTAGTACTATTCCTATCAGTTTAATCTCTGTTACGTCCCCTATCAGGGGACGTGTATATGGCATCGATTTTAGGAACCGGGAGATGGAAAAAGATGCTTGGTCGGTCCTCCTTCAAATTTGGGGCACTGCACGTGCAATCTAATGTGCCACCAGATAGGAGTGGTGTGTTAAGTAGTACTATTCTTATCAGTTTAATCCCAATGTCACGACTACTAGTGTGGTCCAGCACGCAGAAACTATGTAAACATATACATAGGCAAGAAAAGGAAAATAAAAGGACAGAGCGTAAACCGGACCTTATAATGGCCGGACTAATATGCTAGAGACAGAGAATGGTCAAAGAGGAAGCCAGAAAATACACAATACCGTTTACACAAGCCAAGTCAGGGAGCGGAAGCTGTAGAAGATTGGGTGTCCTATGTTAGCCAGTCAACTATGTGCTCAGAACTTTTGGTTGGGGGTGGTGATGCAGAGGGTGGTGTGGGGGGTGGTGATGCAGAGGGTGGTGTGGGGGGTGGTGATGCAGAGGGTGGTGTGGGGGGTGGTGATGCCGAGGGTGGTGTGGGGGTAGTGGGGGTGGTGTGGGGGATGAGGCTGAGGGTGGTGTGGGGGGTAGTGAGGCTGAGGGTGGTGAGGCTGTGGGTGTGGGGGGTAGTGAGGTCAGAGAGATCAGATGAGTCCTTCAGGACTGTAGTGGACACTGAATACACTAGCCTAGCTATCAATTTCCCTATCAAATCAGCAGCAGCTACACTGTCCCTCCTCTCACTAAGAATGCAGCTTCACAATGAATGTAAAATGGATGCTGTCCAGGAGGTGGGGGTCTGGGAGGGAGGGTCTGCTGCTGATTGGCTGGAATGTGTCTGCTGACTGTGAGGTACAGGGTCAAAGTTTACTCAATGATGACGAATAGGGGGCGGACCGAACAGCGCATATGTTCGCTGTCCGTGGCGAACGCGAACAAGCGATTTTCGCCGGGAACTATTCGCCGGCGAACCGTCCGGGAAATCACTATTTACTAGTCATTTAACATGCTGCCAAATTCTCATTTGTTTTAAAAGTAACCAAACACACAATCAGGGTCTCTACTAAACCTTTTAGCAAATGAACCACCTCAAGGTTTGAAACTTAGCCTCCAGGAGCAATATGCATCCATTCTCTTTCTATCTCTGCAATATTGATCACTAGGTTAGCCCAATATTTTCATCCTAATATATTTTTATTTTGTACACTTATCTTAGTATGACGACTGTTTTCTACACAAAAAAACAATACAGCAGTGTAACAGCTGGTGTGCCTTAATACCAAGTTTTTACCATTGTAACTTTGCGATTTGGATTGTACAAATAAAGCACATACCACTTAATTTAAAAAAAAAAAAAAAAAGTTTTTGGCAATTAAATACAATTCATTTTTTTTTTTTTAGATTTTTTTTTTCTTTTAATGTGTTGCGGGTGAAATAACTAATTCAGCTATAGGAACACCTTTGGATAATTTAGCCTTAATTTTGTCAATTTGCAAGTTTAATCAGGAAAGTGAGAATTTAAAGTAAATTTCAAATAGTTCAGCAAATCTAGTCTTAAATTTGAAATTCACTTTTGGGTTCAGCTTTTAGTAAATAACTTGTTCCGACTGTAAATAGGTATTTCAAAAATATTTTTTTGAAGGTGGTGGTGGAGGCAGAGCCACTTTCATATTCACTTAACACATTAATATTTTAACGAACAGAAAAGGAGGGGGAAGTAGTGCCAAACACATGGCTTTATCATTAAAAACTAAATTGTCCAGAAATGACTTCGCAAAAGTGTAATCCAGTCATTTAGTTCCATTAGACATTGGCAAGGGACAGTGGCCTGCGTTGGGGTTTATTGACAACGCTAAATTGTAGCAGGTATCTAAGACAAGCTGCTAAATTTAGGTTACAATCTAACAATCAAGATGTGACTGTGGCAGTGCTGGAGTCTATTTCTATGGGTACCATTCTGTAAAATAAAATGTGCAATATTTATTCGGAATTCTCCACTATTCTCAATTTAAAAAAACACAAAAAAAATGAAAAAATATCCAACAACATTGGGCTAAGTTTTTTTTTTAATCCCCTACTTTTATCTCTGCAGTTCTCCGTTGATAACTCACACGTATATAACAGAAATCTGATAATCTATTGTGGAGTTTATATATATATATATAATTATATTATATTTATTAGGACCAGTATAGTATTGCACTGCCTGCCTTCACAATTTGACAGTTCTACATAGAATTTCTTGTTCACCTACCTCAAATACCTAATGTACACCTACTTTATCTATGCTGCTATCTCAGGATATTGTTCTGTCAGTGTACTCCTCGAACAAGAAATGCAACGTTTTACCAAGATATCCACATTTCAACTTACTGTGATAAAAGGAACCGATTTATTGTGGATCCAGCGCCTATCTTCCTGTTCGTGAAATAGCTTGTTTGCTGACTTTATAGCGGAGTATAAACAGTCTATTAAACTATTCATTTCTATTTTTTATTTAAGCAGTCTATGATTACTTATTGTATTGGTCATTAATATACTGTAGATATTTGTTGTGAGGAGTCATTAGAGGTTATTTAAAATATTCAATTTCCTTAAAGAGAATACACTGCATAATCAAACCTCATTGACGACATTCTCCAAAATATAACTACCAGCTTCTTTAAATTAAAAAAATAAATCAGGAACATGTATTCACCTCTTAAGACATTAAAATGGACAGATGTGCTAGGCACCAACATTGCCTGTCCTCTATACAACAGCCACAGATCTATGCGTTGGGTATAAAAGAGTCCTTTATTGATTTGAATTATCTCTCTCTGATATCAAAGGTGGATTGTTTAACTTTACAAAATGGTCAATGGGGCTGTAAACAAACAGATAGCGGCCAAGATCTGACTTCTCTCCTCTTTTTGTGCAGTCCACGGTGGTTGAACTACATATGTCCTAAACCGCTGCCGGGCAAGAACTTGTTATAAGAAAACAACTCTTAAAACACAATGAGAGCCTCCAGTTGCTGACACGTTTTCCTTGTCTGGGAGGACAGAGGGGGTTTTTAACATTCTAAAAAGAAAAAAAATATTAAAGAAAAATTCAGTGACAGTTTGTGGGAGAGCGTTCGTTAAAGCAGGCTGAAGGTTGTGGAGCGACCCACAGCTGAGATAGGAAAAATAGTTAAACGGTTGCTCCAAGAATGATGACCATATCAGTGATTTGAAGTGGTCATGGTGCCTGGAGACTATGTGCACACAGTTTACCCCCTCGTCTGCAGGCATGTAGCAATGTCATTGGGGCATTATTATCCATCCTAGAGCAAGAATTCTGGGCGCCAATGTCAATTCTGCACGTATTGGAAATCAGTATTTGCCTCAGTGCTGGAGAGGAAGGTATGATTAATATACTTTTTTTATTTTTATTTTTTTTATTTTGTGGGTGGGAGGGGTACGGTAAGTGTTACTCTGACGAAAAAAATAAGTGTTTTCTTAAAGTAGTTCTTTTTGGTTAGAGTTCCACTTTAAGAGAATTATAATCCAGACACTCTATGGACTTGGACACTTTTTGGATGTATTGCAGGAAGAAAACCATAGTTTGGAAAAACCTTAAAGCAAATTCTTTTTGTAGTTTTCCAAAAAGGCACGAGGTGAACACAGCTAAAGGGCCCCCCCACTCTACCCACAAACGGCGTGATCTCACTGAAAGCATAGCTGGAAACCAGCCAGGTACTCCATGTGATCAGTCGACATTATCCAACTATTATAGGGGTGCAGTAAAATTCTGTACCCCAGAACTTAATCCTTACATTTAATGGGGAGGGGGGAGGGGCAGCATCACCCACTCGCACATAGTAGCCTTGCAAAGAACAGTGATAATTCTTTTTATATCAGCTGGCTTGTTTATTACTAGCTAAGCATAACTTCAGTGATGTCACACCGTGTTTATGATGACATGGGCCAAGCCCATTACAGCTCAGGTTTTACCTAGCTAGCCTTTTACAGAGCACGCACATAGAATCCATAGTGATTGGGGACCATCTGTTACAGTTGATTATTTCCCAAATGTTGAATTTTGGAGAAGTGAAACAGGAATTCTAAATCTTTGTCCAAATTAAACAAGGTCTAAATTAAAGGAGATTTAATGCAGTATAACTATTGGCCATTATGTTAAATTTACAAATGATACCAACCAAT